GATAATGACATTACTGTACACAGATCTTTCACATTTATAGCATATAATTTTATCATTCTTTTTAATATTATCCACACGAAAAAATAAGAACACAGTGACTTCCATATTTATATATAAAAAAAATTCTTATTAAAAATACATTTATATTTAACAGGAATTGACTTTAAATGTCATTGAGACAATAGAATGCAGATATATCTTATCTTAATTATAAACAGAAGAAATAATGTAGCTTCTTACTCTCTGAGCCTAATGATATAAGTATTATATTTTTGTTTGATGGATTATTCATATTGCAATAATAATATTGCTTACTCCAAAAAAATCATTTTGATACAACAGTCAAATACATATTTGATGGAAAAAAAAATTAAAATGACACTTAACCGGACACATATTGCTGCATTTTTAACAGCCACATTAATAAATTCGAAAAAAGAATTTTTCCATCTCTCTTATAAAAAATGCATAAGCTATACATTCATATAGAGAAAAAATGTGAAAGGCCTGGTTTTGAAAAAAAAATGTGTTAGATAAGGAATATCATCGATTCATAGTATTATGATTTTAGCTTACATTTCCATGAACTTGATTTTTCATTTATAATCTGTAGATTCTTTTGAGTGATTTAATACCACTTATAAGTGATTGTGCAGTAAATATTTTGTGCATAGTTTCATGAGTTATCAAAGAGAGTGTCTGAGAGTGATGATAGTGAGGAAGAGACGGAATATGCTTTAATCTGCGTTAAGAAAAGTTGGTAACATCTGTGTATCGTCGAATTGATTACAAAAGTTCATATTAAGTGAGGATATATTATCTAAAGGACAGTGTTTGGTGGTAGTTAAAAAAAAAGAAAAGTAAAGGAAAGAAAAAAGAAAAGAAAAAAAAAAAGCTTTGAAAAATGTGTACAGTGATGTATAAAAAAAAAAGTGTTTGTGTTTTGTCTTTGAGTATGGAAAAGATGACGCGAATTATCATTTCTGAAATCAATAATTGAATATTTCAAAAATGATGATATGCATCATCTCGACCATACTCAAATACATTTGAAAGGTGCAGTGGTTATAAGTACACCTGGTGATCGAACAAAAAAAATAGATGACATTTATGCAGACAAAAATAAAAGTATGTGTTGCTTTTCTTGATACCGTTATCCATACATACCAAAGTCAAAAATCTTCGTACAATATCGTAAATAACAGTGTTACTTTCATTTCAAATTGAGTTTTCTAGACAAATTTATTCAAGTAGATAAATTTTGCAGGAATAGGTTTTCTTTTCTTTTTTTTTTTTTTTTTAATTGTTTTAATTTTTTGTTTTATTTATTTTTTTTTGTAAGAAATAAAGAGAGAGAGAGAGAGAGAGAGAGAGAGTGTGAGAGAGAGAGAGAGAAAGATAAATGGAACATTAAAATGGAGAGCAATTATTCAGAAGACGTCAATGCAATCTTTCAAATGAAAAATGCCTGCTTGTGTGTAAAAAATTAAGTTGGAATGCAATATATATAGATATATATGTATATATGTATATATATATTTTTTTTTTTTAGTTTTTCACGCGAAATTTATTTCATTTCTTTTTCTTTATCTAAAAGTGAAGTTAATAGTGAATAATGGTGTTGTGATTTGTTCCTTACTGAATGACAATATCAAAGATATCCGAAAAGTATATGATAGATTGCAAATTTGTAGTGCTTGTGGCTTTTATAAAATAATTTCTCTATTTAAAAGATGAAGAAAATCAATCATATTTTCCTTATAATATAGTTTTCACGTTATCAGTAATAATAATAATAATAATAATAATAATAATAAAAAAAATAATAATTTGTGATTTGTGTTTTCTGTGACACGTGATGATACAATATCTATAAACAAAAAAACAAGCAGACGTATTAAACTCAGTTATAAATCCGGGTCTCATTCTAGTTTGAAAAAAAGTTTTTAAATACTATAAAAAAGTATAGTTAGTTGTGATATCTCCAACAATGTATTGAGTCCCAATATTGTGCACTCAATTGTGTAGTTCTGTATACCTGGGAACAAAACTGGAAAATGGATCTTGAAGGGAAATACCGAAGACACGAAAAAGGTTTGATTAGAAAGCTCTTCTATCTTTTGTAACACAAAAAACAAAAGAAAATATAAATCCTACTACCATGTTTTCTAATTGTATAGCAAGATGGTAAAATATATTTCTTTATAATTCATATTCTTTGCATTTTCAAATTAGCACTTTATATTATTTACATCTAATATATGAAACATGGAATAATTAAAATAAAAAATGAATTTTTACAAATAATTAAGTAATTAAAAAATTAACAAAAAAATATGGCTTTAAAAATTTCAGTCTGAAATACGATAGAATTTTTTAATCGTAAATTGAATACAAAATTCTGACTTTTGAAAGATATTTGACAATATTGTTTATAGTTTATTAAATTTGTATATTTTAATGAAATATCTTAGCATTTAGGATGAAATTAAGAAAAAAGAAGCATAAAGAAAAAATTCTTCGATGTGCATTTAAAACATTAATGACTGAAGATGACTGAAATAACCTCTATTTCATGTAAGTATTACTCGACTAATTGTAAGTTAAAAAAGAGTTACATTGTAAGTAATTTTGTAAATATTACGCAATACTGATAAAGAAAAAAGAAACAAATGCATACAAGCAATGCAGTATTTATAGGTTTGGGAACTATACGATGACATAGGACTACCCCGCAAATCAAGCTAGCATACAAGCCTATGTTATTTAATAATAATGCAAAAATATTTCTTATTAAATTAACAGAGAAGTATAACAATATTTACGAATAATATATAATATCTGTGATAACAATTAATTGTAATATAATAATAATATATAATCATTAAATAATTTTAGAATTTTAGATGATCTCAATCTCCGAGAAGAGAAAGTGGCGGGAAGATTTTCTATGAATTTATCAGACGATATTTTTACGAATATATATTCATAAATTAAATAAATATATATTTTTACATTACATATATTTAAAATTTATATTTTTATGTCAAATATATAATAAAAAATATAATAAAAAAACACGAGATAGTCAAAAAATTTCTTATTTTCACTCATTTTAAAAACGCCAACTGTACAGTGAATAAATATCGTCAGTTTTTAAAAAATTAATCTATGAAATATCATCTTTTAAATGCACGCTGATATGATACGATCGAATTAATATTACTAGAATTACGTGACTAACCCATCTAGTGAAAAAATAGGCGTAAGACTTAAATCCTTAAAAAAATATAATAATTTATCTATCTTAATACGTTTTTTATTTTTTTTCAATAACTAAAGAATAAATATAATCTTTTTATTTATATAGTTTTTGTTAAAAATATATAATAAATTACACCCAATCAGTGTGTGTGTATAACAATATGAACTACAAATGTAAAACTCTAGAAAGTCGACCAATGGAATTCGATTAAATAACTCGAAGTTATTTCTATTGCAATAACTGATCGTTGATTGGTTCAAAAGATCAATTAGTTATTTTGTATCGAACTTCCGTTTAATGTTAATGGAGTTATCCTATTGATTGTATTCACTTCCAAAATAATTCGATCAACCAATCAGAAAGTATTTTGTAGCGCCCTCTAGATAGGAACGTATCGAGTGTAACGAAGACACGTGTACTCGAGCAGGAGCCGGAAAGAGCCATTTTCTTTCGAGATTTGAGAAGGAGGTGATCGTTAGCCAGCGTGGCCGGTGTGCTAGTGCACTATACCATATATACTGCCATAATGGCGGGTGAGTAATGTTTTATCTACGATAAAATTAACCGATTTTTTTCTATTAATAATATATCCGTATTAATTTTTTTTTTATTAACCATTTTAAATAGTAATCGATGTATACGCATATACGATTGTACGATAATATATTGTTATAAATATTTAAGTCTTTTCGTGAAAATCGTGCACGCCTAAGTTTGAGGATAATTTCGTATAATTTTGATTGAAATTTTTCTATAAATTTTTTTGTATATATTTATCTGTTTGTATATTCTTACTTTGATTTGCTAAAAATTATTATAAAAAGAACAACACGCGATGATAAAATTAGTTAATATTTTTCTTCTCTATTTATAGCTATATTACTTTTGTTGATGGTATCAATTTTATCTGCAACATACACGGTAGGAGAAAACGTACCATCAGTTATTTCTTACTTATCAGAAAATGATAAAATTCGTTTAAAACACGTCATCGATCCTGGTTTGAATCTGCAAGATCCAGCTTCGACATATTATAGTTTGTACGGATATCAACTTCTTCATGAAACTATACCTAATAAAGAAGTAGGTATTTTTGGTATTAAATGATCATTGATTTCATTTCATTATTTTTATATTAATATATGATGAGAAATGCAAATATTGAATTTCATTGATTCTTTGATTAGTCTTCCTGATATTAATATTGAACATTAAAAGTTAAGTTATGTATTTTCTTTCACATTCATCAATTTATAATTTTACATATATATTACAGAAAATTTGTAATTATCTGTTAAAATCCATTGGGGATGGTAACAATGTTGTACCTGAAACAGCCTTTTATATCGTATCAGCATGGAAAGTTATTAATACATGCCAAGATTTACCAATACCTGCGATTACAAAGGTACTTCCATTCACAAAATCATATTTTAGCAATAAAAGATCTGTTATTTAACTTTTAACGATGTAAAGATTCCGTTGTGGAGATATTAGACTTATGGAGACTTTTTATCGTTATGAGCTAAAGTAAAAAATTATCTAACATTTAATGATGCTTTTAAACTTTCGTTCTACTGCAAGAACATTGAAGACAAATTTTATTTAACTGAAAATATTATATTTATCCAATATAAATTATTGAAATTATATGAATGATAAATATTTATCATAAGAATTTTTTGTTTGTTCTAATATAGGTTTTGATGAATACTATAGACAAAGATACATCTTCTACGTTTGCTGAATTATATTATGCTGTAAATACATTAACACTCTTATCACAAAAATTAACTACAGAGAAATCTGAAAAATTAGCTAAGACATTGGCTTTCAGAAAAGACGACAGTCTGTGGAAGTAAGTGTTAGTTAATAAAGTCTTGCGATTTAATTGTTGTAAATGTTAATATTGGCATGTGAAGTATGGACCAGCGTGAAAAGTATTAGCAATTTATTATACCAATTGTATAACATAGTTATTCTACGCCAATGTTATACGTAAATCCAAGTATGATACAGAGTATTTTGTATTTAGTCTTGGATATACCTTCCACATTGCTTCTGATCTTGGGTCCTTTGGTACATTTGCTTTGCATCGTATCGAAGATGCTATCATACAAGCTGATGAAGTAAATGGACAGTTCTTGCAATTCGAAGGTGGTCTGTCTATAACAAGTAAGTCGTAAATAATATATTTTGTGTTATTTATATATCAAACTATAATTTATATATTAATATTAACAAATTATTTTTAGGCTTCCTCGTAAATGGTATCTTCAAGCTTAGTAATTCGTTAAAAAAGAAACCACTCCTGACGTCTCAGCAAATTGTCAAACTAACTAATTATCTTTTGTCGAGACGATCCGTACAAACTCCTAAGGGCGTTGTAAGTCTTCTTTCAGCACTGAATACATTGGCAGCGTACGAACATGAAACATTAGTATGTATTACCTTACCCGAAGAAGGAGTCATTGTTTCAAACAAACAACCACTTGTTACTGTTAAAGTTTGCGATATTTTTGGTAAACCGTTGGCAACAGTACCTAAAGTTATCACAAATTATGTTACTAAATTGGATGATGATACTGCTATCCTCAATAAAGAAATATTACAGCCTTCAACAACAGATAAGTAAGTTCATTAGGATTAAAATTCCCAATATTATTCGTCCCCAATACTTTACTGATTCAATTATAAGAGATTGACATCAGCTATACCTTGGGGTATAGTAATTGTTGAATTAACCCTTAAACCTTTTTTCAATGTAAGAAAGGTATAGAATTTCAACAAACAATTTTGTATTTACAAATATTTTTAATTATATATATTTAAAAACAAAAAGTATTTTTGGAATACGCATATTCAATATATTTAATAATTTTCTGTCTCTTAATAGAACATTGTTTACGATGAATTTAATGAAAGCTAAGCCAGAACGTGGATTTTATAAAATATCAGTCTCAGCAGCATCTGTAACCAACATCGTTAAGGTCAAAGTTCTTTCCGAAGTAGTAGTTGATTATTTAGAAATAGGAACAGGCGATGCTGATCAAACTACGCAACCAAAATTAACAAGGTATATTTAAGTCTTATAAAAATCGTAAAAAATTCGTACTGATTTTATCCAGTTTTTATAATTAAAAATGTTTCATACAAATTTACAGAGTAACATATCCTGAAAAACTAAGTCAGAAGATAGAGGCAGATTCCCAACAAAAATTAGTTGTTAGATTTTTATTGAAAGATTCAGCTAATAAAAAACCAATGCGCGTTCACCAAGCATTTATCCGTTTATCATCTACTTCTACTACTAATATTAACAATGAAAATGAAATAACATTTGTAGCTGAGCCAGATAATGCTAATATTTATAAATTTGATATGGTAAGTTCACTAAACATTAAATTTATAATTGTACGATTATTTTACAAATTCTGATGATATGTGCTAATTTATCAATTATATTTTTAGCCTCTAGCAGCAACAGCGATAAACTTTGCGTATCGCAGCGGGGATTATAAAATAGCTTTAGTTATCGGTGATTCTGTATTAAGTAATTCTTTTGAATGGACTATTGCTATGGTAAATTTGAAATTCCCTGATGCTGTTACTGCTGAATCGAGCGATAAGAATGCTTTTTTCAAACAGAAAGCAGATATATATACAACCAAACCAGAAATAAAGGTAATTATTAATAATCAATGGAATAAACATATAATAGCCAATGCTCGTTGGTGATCGAATATTTTTAATTATTCTAATCACTTCTTTAACATTGGTAGAATAAATTACTTCAAAGCAATTTTATCTAGATTTCCAAATTAATTTTATATTTGGATTTATATAATAAACTTTGAATAACAAATTTATATTAAATATGCGCATATATTTTCATGATATTAAAAAAATTGATTGTTCTTTTTTTTTCTAAATTTCTAGCACATGTTCCGTGAACCGGAGAAGAGGCCACCAGCTTTCGTATCAAATTTATTTACTGGCCTATGCTTAGCACCTGCCCTTTTACTTATTATTTTGTGGGCAAAACTTGGCGTCAATATATCTAATTTTCCTTTATCTCTCAGTGCTGTAACATTCCATCTTGGATTAGGAGGTAAGCTTTTAGATCACTCTTCCAAGTATAATATAATATTAAGATTTTACAGTAATTTTATTATTATGCTCAATGCTTGACAGGCTATATTTTTCTATATTGACTTGTTTTCAATTGAGCAGAAAGAAAACTGTGAATTTTTCTCAAATATAGTACATTTTTAACTATATTTGTAGCCCGATTATTCTCAACATAAATATTTTTAAATAATTATACTACATTAAGTGTAACAAATAATTGTTTTGTTAATATTTAATATATATTTTTCATTTTCGTAGGTATTTTCATACTGTTTGGAGTATTCTGGTTAAAATTGAACATGTTCGTAACATTGCGTTATCTTCTGGGACTTGGTGTTGTTACATTCCTTGCCGGTAACAAATTGTTATCGAACATTGCCCATAAACACAAATCATAAATCATTGAATTATAAACGGAGGTTCCTTTAGCACGCTCAAGTGATAATATTATTATTACTACAAGTGCATTTTATAATAATGAAAGTTATAAACATGTACGTTATTGAAAAAAGGGAAGTATGTGTGTATTTAAAAATATGCACAGTTACTCAAAAACGAACATTCATTTTTATAGGTCGAAAGTGTAACGTCGCTAATTCAATGTTGATGCAAAAGTGATATACTTATCGAATATCGTTTTAACTATATAATTTAATAAACATATTGAAAAAAAATATATGCAATACTATATAATTCTCAAATACATTACTTTAGAATGTTCTAGTTTTTCTACGTATTAATTTGTACATAAAGACTTCATAAATAAAATTTAAATTTAGATATATAATTATAAATAAATATAAATATATGTATTGCATTTATTGTAACAAACTAATGAACGAAATTATGCGATATCAAAGTCGAAAATTTTTATTCACAATTTTTATAACAGTATTGAAGTATAGAAATAATTTATTTGTTCACGATAATTAATTATGTTATATGCAACTATCAACGTGCTGCTGTATTATTTTGATAATAATTTTATTATTTTATTATTGTACATTTATATTATGAATTTAAATTTGTTTTCTTTTCGTGCGATAAATAATCTTTGATTATTTTTCTCAATATAATAATTTCTTTTCGTTGATTTTCTTTTTCTAATGTTAATTCTTTAATAGTAATTCTCACTGCACCGATTCGACGCCAAAAATTGGTTAAATCTTGGAAGTTATTTATAATCTGTATTTGTACGGTATATTTGTTAGTAATATATACATTTTTTTCATAAAAATTTGTCAAAAAAAATTGAAAAAGAAAAAGAAATAATCGATTATGTTCATTCAAAATTGTATCATCCTACCTCCGCACTTCCTTGCAACTCGAACAAAGTTGAAATCTTTTTAGGACTCGATTCCTTATAACTAGTATAAGAATAAATATTTTCATCGAGGGTTTCATACTTGTGACAAATTAAAAGAAGACTTAATAAACTTTCTACTTTTTTAAGTAATCTTTCTAAATAATTTTTAGTTAACTTATATTCGATCGTTGTTGTTGTTAATTGAATTCTATCTTCTTTCTGCTCTGTAATTGTTGAAACATTAAAAAACACAAATTAGAATTTAGTGAATAGTTTAAAATAAATAAAAAAACTATTTATCATGTTTATATGAACAAATATACTTGCCAGAAATAAGACGATTTTTCATAATCCAATAAGAATTATAAAAGAAATGTTGTTCGTCCATAATTTCTTTGAAATCCTTGTTAACATTAGCTTTATGAGTAGCAACTTTATCGCGAAATTTACTAATTGTTTCAGATAGAACAGAAATACGCACATATTGCTGAGTTATAATCTGTTGATTTTTCTCATCTTTTTCTTTAGCGGCATCGTAAATTTTTCTTCGATTTTTTGTATCTAAAAAAATCCTATTTATATAACAAAATTTCGCAGATTACAAAGAATATAATTTAAAGTGGAGGATGCTCCAAAAGTTGTTTTACCGAGAAAACCGTAATTTATTAGCTAATAAATTAATTAATAATTTTTCAAATCCATAAAGCAACTTTTAGAATGCCCTATGTATTATACTTCTATGATATGTAGCAATGGTTTTTCGAAGATCCGTTGAAATTTCATTTAGCTGATTCTCTCTCTTGGAAGCTGCTAATCTTCTCATATTAGTTTTATCACCAACGAAAGAATCGATCTTACCTTGAAAAATGATTTAAATTAAAACGATATAGCTGACAGATTATGCGAGTAAATAATTTATATTCATTGTTAAGCGGATGTCGAATGTATTCATACGAAGTCTATTTAATTTTAGACGACCCAACATATTTATATTAAATTTGATAATATAATTTAAAATATATTACAAATATTCGAGATCCTCTCTTTATAATATTTTTTAAATACTTATTAGTATGATTAGGCTTACTCATAGTTTTGCTTTTAGTGTTACTAAGCAAATTATCCAATTGTTCTTGCATAAAACGAATAATAGATTGCAACTGTGACAAATCTTCATTTCTTTTTTTTTTAAATGCAATATTTTCTATGTCAGCTTCGTTTAGAGTTTCATTAATTTTGGATTCGTAAATCATTGAAATAATACTAGTTCTCATATTATAAATATTAAATAAACGATCGATTATAGCGCTGTGAGCATTTTTCAATATTTCGTGTTGTTCCTTAGCTTCGTCGAAAGAATTTATTAAAATTTGAATACTATATTGAACACAATAATTTAATTCCTCTCTTATAAATCATCGTTATCGTTGATCATTATCATAATTGTTTATAAAAGAATATACCTGTGATCTTTATTATCGATTATTCGATCAAATGTACGCCACGCAGTCTCGATATCTTCTTTAATAATCGGCATTTTTGCACGCATCATTAATTCTCGCCATGATTGACGATACTTTATTGTATTCAATGCACCCATTTCGATTTCACGATTTAAATGTTGTCTTTTTAACGTTAATTGTCTTTCCAATGCCTCTTTTCGTTTTTCTTCTTTCGTCATGGCTGTTGCCCATCGTAATTTTCTTCCTCTTTTCGGTGGCATATTCTTTTAATAAATAATATTATTATTAATTACTTGCAAACACACGAACACATACAAATATAATACATAAAAAAAAATATAAAAATATATTAATTTTATTTTTATAACTGTATATTGGGTTGTAACATATAGTCGTTCTACTTTTAATATTTTGTTCCAAATAGAAAAAGTAAAAGAAATTTAAAAAAAATTAAGGAAAATAACTTTTATAGAGTTATTAAACAATTTATCTTACGTTTTTAATATCCTCGTCAGACGAATATATGCAGATAGATATTAAAAAGAAAAAAACGCTGGGTGTATCCTCTTAGAAAAAAAAAATCTTAACAGACGGCAAGAATCGTGTAGCCTCAAGCAATTTGAATAAAACCATCAATGAAATACCGTATGTTAATGATATTTCCAATTATTATAAAGATTCCCAGGGAATTCCAATAATCTGTTAATGGTTTCGCTAAACTTAATTGCATCTGTAAAAGGTTACATGACATTTTTATTCGATGTTGTTATATTAATTTATTACATACATTTGTTTTTTTGTTTACTATATCGTGTTCATTTTTAAATTACAATAAAATTAATGATTTTATATTGAAATTTTAATTTAAAAAAAAATGATGAATGTATCCTATTGATGTTATTCCACGAAAAGAGCTACACACATTTACTTAATTGTTTGCTGATATTATTTGAACAAGAATACTTGATCTTTCACAATCGTTTAGATTAAAACGACCTCGTTTAATGTTAATTATTAAGAAAGACAAAAATAAAAAAAAACTTATCATTATCACGAAAAAAAAAAGAAATTATAGCTGTCCAAAAATAGGATTGATGATTTGAAAAAAGTCGTTCCAATCATTTTTAATATTAATAGAAAAGATGTTGTGTTACGCGAATAGTTATAAATTGAATAATAAAATTATTTTTCTTTGAAGTATGAATGCATAATTAATTTGTCTATTTGTAATCATTAGAAAAATAAGATTTTCATTTGTAAATGTAAAATGAAATGGTCAGTTAATAATCGTTGGATAACTTCGATGGTCGTCAAAATATCATGGATAATTTATAATTACAAAAGCTAAGTATAAAAGGAATGCGTTAGAATTAGGAATACGAAGGTCGATGGTTAGTTAGAAGGTTCTTTTTAAGAGGATTGCGTAAAATGACAAGGAACTCATCGTTTTTCAAATAAAAACATTCTTGCGAAGTCACCAGTCGAGTTCAATGTCATTCTTGGTAAGGTGCGACGTGGTGAAGAAAACCGGAAAGATGAGAATGAAAGATAAATTTGTATTTTATACGAGAAACACGAATATTCACATATGTAACGTCAGTAGTGGTTACTTTGAAAGAAAACTATTGGTAGAATGATCTTAAATATTTCACTTTGTAGTCAAGATATTGTGATGGAAGGGGGATCTTCCTTGATCTTATGCTATAAAAACTCTGGAAACTCGATCTAAGAAAGGGTACGTCAGTTTTAACTTAAGATCAGGACACAATCAAATAAGGTTCGTAAGGAAACATTCTAATTTATGTTCTATAGTGATCCATCTTTTTTTTCTCTATATTATACAAAATAATATGAATTATCTACGATTAAAAATTGTGCTATAAAAAGTAGAAATCAGTGCGTTTCATTGTACATATACTGTGTATTACATTATTTTACAATATTGTAATTGGATCGTTTGTTGTGAAAATAGTGTAAGTTCATTTTTTAACAAGATTAACATTACGTAATATTTTTTTCAATTTTTTATTTATAATTATTGAAAATTATATGTTTTGTCAAACTTTTATTCGAAAATGGACTTCCGCCACTTGCATAAGAAGCTATCCATATAATATTATTATTTTAAAATATATATATACAAGGAAGAAAAGGAAAGAGAAAGTAAGTGAAAGAGAGAGAGAGAATATCGAGAAAAATGAATTTTCTTTTCTCAATATAGATGAAGCTCCATTACTTATTGGCATTAATTACATTTCTGACGGTGGCTTATGCAGAGTCAGACACCACACAAAATTTATCGGATTTATCATTGGAATCAAACGAGGAAAATAAAATACGAGACAAGAGGACTTTACTTTTAGGAAAAGCTGCCCTAATTGGGGGTGGTGCTCTTTTTGCTAAAAAAGCCCTTTTAGTTGGAGGTGGTATCCTAGGTGCTAAAGCATTACTTGGGGCTGGTTTATACAAATCTAGGTAATTCAATTAAAATATATTAATTAGATTTTTATAGAAAAATAATATCATTAGTAAAACATTATTGACAATATTTGCATAATTTCTTTTTTAGTTTGGGACGTGGTTATGGCTATGGTGGACATGGCGGGGGATATGGTTACGGAGGTGGATTTGGTTATGGTGGTGGATTTGGTTACGGTGGTGGATTTGGTTACGGTGGTGGATATGGTGGTGGATATGGTGGTGGATATGGTGGTGGATATGGACATGGATATGAATACCCAACTGTAAGCCATTATTATGCTCAACCATCTTATGTGAAATATCATTCTCATGGTTATTGGCGATAATTTTGATATACCTTGTAAGTATACTTCCCTTTTTATCTTTTCATTATTTTTCGTATTATTCATATACACATATTTATGTTACAGAGAATGCAGTATTGAAACAAAAAGATAAATTGAAAATCTTATCCTTTTATTCGAATTTTGAAATAAAAGTATACGAATAAGTATTAGTGCTTCGTTTCACGTTAGAGACGTACACAAATTTTATATAATTAATAATATTAATAATATTCTTTAATATGTACTTTAATAATTAGAAAAATAGCGTGTGATCAAAAAACATGCTAGTATAAAATTATGAATTAATAATGAAAACTATATTTTTATAATCACCGATTCATTTATCATTATAGAAGAAAAAATAAATCAAAATAAATATCCTGGATCGTTAGAATAAATAAGTTAATCATTTTGAAAAATAATAGGTTCTAAAATGATATTGATATCATCGATCGACATTTACATTATTACAGCATTGTTATGTGCTGTAATCGAAGCAATTCGTTAATTTTACGTGACGCCAATTTTATATGCCGATTTCGATATCCGATCACAATCCCATGTTTCTTTTCTCTTTAAGGAAGTACATCAAAATAATTCGAAGTAAAAATTAAATTTAAACACAAAATTAAACTCTCAAATTCGTATCGAAGTAAAAACAAAATTTGACCGGTTGATTTTTATTCCCTACTATGCTTCTTCTTTCTTACATGATAAATACGATTTCGTATGCGTTATCTAACCGTGAATTTAGTTTATAGAAATAAATAAAAAAGATCATCCAAAGCACGTTCGATCGGACGTTGTGTATATGTCTTCAATTACAAGAACGGAATCCTAATGAACCTTTTTATTGAACCATACTTGTTTTTATATACTATTATATATATGTGTATGTAACTGTGTAAGGGAACAATGCGAATAAAAAAGTTAACTAATCGAAGGTGCGAGACAAGAAAGTGTTATAGTATATCGATGAGATGGAAAATACGTCAACTTACTTAATGATGTGTGTGAGTACACACTGTGAAAACGAAAACGATGACCGATATAGAAAGTGTCTGATGTCCACTCAGATTTCGTAAGCTTACACGGAAATTTCACTAATGGGTTGGAACAATAGCCTACATTTGAAAGTTAAACAAGGTTCTACCCAAAAAAGAAAAAAAAAAGAAAAGAAAGGAATTCTTAAAAATTTTATTATATTTTATAGTTTTTTTTTATTGTACAGGGTGTCTGAGGTTTTTTCGTATACACGTTATGAACGATCCTGTCCGACTAGATTTTGATTTATGGAAGAAACTAAAACAACAAATTCATGTAACTGAGGTAGTTACACTTGATATTATGGTAGAACGAATTAGGGATGCAATTATAGAAATTAATTAACAAGAAATTACTTTATAGTAAAGAAAAGAAAAATTTGTTTGAATGAGTTCAATCTTTGAATTTAGCGGTTCAAATTTGAAGTTAAATTTGTTAATTAAATCCTGCAACATGACTTGTAATCAAATGAGATCCTTTATCTATTGTTTTTTTTTTATTAATTTTCTATTAATTCAATTGAGATTTTAAGATAACAATATAGAATAAGATCTTATCGATATATTGAGACAGAAAGTCCAAAACATCGAAGAAATGCCCAACGATACGATCGTTCGTGTTTGGACTGTAAAATATACTTGTGTCTTTGCTAACCAGGAGGTAGGTTGACTATAAAATCACGCATCCGCTCGTTGTCAGTCACAGTACTTTTTCTTATCCAGAAGTGTACAGTAGCAAAGCTAAAGGTAAGTAAAAGATACGTGATTTTGTAATTAGGCAAATTTCACTTCATCATTCTTTTTGTTTTTAAGACATTAGACAAAAATTCTACATATAAATTTAACGTTATTTTTTTGATATCATAGATGCAACAATACACTATTTTCATCGTCCTAGCGGTATGCAGTTGCGTTGCATTATGCATTGCTACCGAAATTGATAATAACCAATACGATCATCAAGCAGATACATTAAAAACCCTCGATACAACAAACGAGTTCAATAATGGTGCTGAAGAACATATAAGAACGAAAAGGACACTTTTCTTAAAAAAGAAATTATTAGGCGCTGGAATTTTGGGATTTGGTTTGGGTGTTGCTAAAGGGTATAACACTCGTAGTAGAGTTTTTTTCATTTCCTCTTTCTTTTTTTTTTTCTTTATTATTTCTTACAATTACTTTTTATTTCCAGTTACAAACTTGGATACTACAGTGCTCCTGAAGTTCATCGTATATATGTACCACCACCACCACCACCACCAGCTGTTAAATATGTAGAATATGTTGAAAAACCAGTTTACATTTCAAGAATTATCGAAAAACCAGCGACAGTTTACAAATCGGCTCATTTAGATTACGAACCATCCTGGTCGCAACCTGATCCTTCGCCTGTCTACGGGTAATTAATTATCTCATAAATATTTAATTAACAAATTAATTTAGATGTTTCTCATATATTTTGTCTTTTTTAGATCCTGGTAAATAAATATTAAGTATTTTTTAAAAAAATTTATAGAATATAAACGTCATTTAGATAATCACAGCAAAAGGATTCAAAAAATAAAAATTTGGAAGAAAAAATTCATAATAATTTACATAGATCGTAATTAATTTCTCAGGTATTTACCAGATTTATACAAAAAATCATAAGAAAAATCAACCACTGTCTTTGAGCTTGCTCTTATTTATAACCAAAAAAATACTGCATTTGTTAAATAAAATGTTGTTTTTATAATAAAACATTATTTTTATAATTTGTTCTTTTTAATATATTAATTATTCTCCATAACTATAATGATATAATAATTATAATATCAATCGTATGTTATAATATAATTTTGAATACAATATTGCACTCTGTGAAAATAAAATTTAAAAATAGTGCATTATTGGCGGACAAATTAAGTAACCAATCATATTGCAACAGCCCGTGACTGTTGCGCGCGAGAATATCAGCTATTTGTTATAGTTATGCTAGAAAACAAATATCATCGTTTTTAGAAGTTTTTTTATTCTTATTTATTAAATTTTATATAAATGAATTATTAAATTATTCAAATATGTGCAGTAACCATTAAATGATGTGTGAACAACGATAAAAATGTGTAAAAAATGTGAGTATTAAGTATATTTATAAGAATGCGCAGAAGCCCATGCGCAGAAACCCATGCGCAGAGTCCTGTAATGAATGCATTATTATATATGTGCATTATGCGTCATACAAGATTGCTGTCAAACATTCTTATCTCTGCCATAGAAATTATTGCATAAAATTTAATAATTCTAATAAGAATAAAAATATATCTATATAGTGATTTAATTATATCTCGATCATTTATTCTTTTCATGGCAATAAATGTGTGATAATAATTATTAATTAAGAATAATTGAATTTTTAAACAAAAGAACATGGAACAAACAGGTGATCGTCCACAGTGGCTTTTGGAATTAGAAAATAGAAAGAGAAAGGTTGTATTAACAATTATTACATGTAATATTTAGTATAGATAAATTTCATTTTTAGTATAAAAAATCCATCAAGCTGGCTTTATCAATTTATTTTTTACATGTAACTTAGTTATACAATTGTTTACTAGTTATACATTATTTTTCTTGTTATCAATTATATTAGTTTAATATCATAGTACGTATTTTATTTCCTTCCTTTATTTTTTTGGTTAACTTTGTATTTATTTATTTATTATTTTCCTTAAATTAGCCCCGTTTAGCGCATGAAGCTGGAGCAGGAGCACCATGCATGATATGTAATGCTTTGTGTCCCGGTTTAGATTTACACTTTTGGCGAAAGACATGTAAAATTTGTAAATGTAGCAGAGATGATCATGATGTTGTCAATGATGATTTTCCACAATTCGATTTATTATTTGGTCCGTCTGGAAAGTCGAAAAGAAAACCTATGTGTAAATACTATCGCATTATTTATTTTATTTTTATTATTATTAACCCTTTTGTGCTATGATTTAACATGCTGAGCTGCGTGTCATATTCAGTGCTATATTTTATACTTCTAATGTTTTTCATGTTTGAACCGCTAAGCATACAATCATGAGTCTCACACATTATTATAGTGCGAAGGGTTAATACTATATAATTTAATATACTACTATACTAAATCATAATTACATTTCAGTATTGGCTATATCCAATAAAAAGCAAGCTAACAGCGAAATCAAATTCGACTGGATACCACCAGACACAACTAAGGAACTTGCAACAGATTATATGAATGCTTTACCCATTGAAAAATTACCTATTTCGGGATCAAATGGTGCAATATTAAGGAAACAATTATTACAAAAACAATTGCCATTACATGATATCGATCATAAGGCATGTGATGAACTTAGCGAAGTGGAGAAAAAAGAATTAGAAAATTATGTGGAGAATTTGAAGAAATATGTTGGACAGGGTAAAGTAATAAAGGTATGTGTTCTATTATTTGTATGTATACTATATATGTATGTATAATATTCATATTATTTTTATAAACTTGTTTCTTTTTTATAATAGATGCTAGGTGCACGTCCATTCGATCGATCATTAATGACACCAGCTAATGCTACAGATATGCAACGTCTCCACTCACAGCATAAATCACAAATATCTGTGACCATACCACAACTTCGAACACCAAGCAGCTTTGCAAAAAATATTCCATATTTAAAAACACCTTACGAGAATAGACCAGATGCAAAAGTTAATGCGGAAACAAAAGATAATGAAAGAAACATTTCTGGTAATTAAAATATTACATTATTTTTTTCAATTGAACAGATATGAATATTGTCCTAAATTTTGCCATAATTTTATCATACTTCTTACAGATAATAAATATTCTAATCCAGGCTCGTTTCATAAATTGGTGAATTCTTCTATACCCACTTACGATGCTAACTCAGAACTACCTACAATTTGTCAACATGAATATTGCGAACCTCTTTATTGTAAACACGCAGAAATCAACTCATGTTCTGTACCTACGACAAATCATGACAAAAAACTTAAACATACAGAGCAAAAAAATCTAACTCATAGAAATAACGTTGATCTTCAAACAGAACCACTTAATATTGAATTATCAAAATCCGATGAAAGTCAAGAAATGAATCTTCAAGAAGTTGCAGATAATATTCTAGCAAACGCATTACTTCCACCGAGTGCAATAAATGTGCATGATATTGTCAGTAGTACTTTGGATAAGGATGAGTTAATGTTTATACGCGATAAACTTAATAGCAAATATAGTATGCAAGATAATTCACAAGGTAATCATGCACGAAGTTTCCCACATAATAAAGGGGTGGACAAGGCTGGCATTGTGGACTCTCAACAAAATCTTTTACCGATTGGATCTACGTCTAAAATAGCAGATACGAACAAAAATGATCAGCAACTTGGAGCTAAGCCCATAACAGCGGAAAAACGTGTATCTAAACCTTTATCGGAAGTGATTCAATCTACTTCTGCCGGTAATATTGCACCTAATTTTATTCATAATAAAGCAAACACTATGCATCCAAAAAATAAACCATGTAACGCTATTTTACAACCATCGCAAGTACACAATGCGGATTCGCTTGAAAATATTCCAATATCATCTATAAATTCACCAGAAAAATATGATACGAATCATAAAGAAGTGCTTACAAAATCTGAATCATCTACATCACCATCTGATATTGAAAATACAAATTGTGTAAAAGGTAAATTAAGCGGCATTAAAAATGTCCAACCAGTTATTTCTTACTCAGAAAATTTACACAATCAGGTATTCCCATACGAAGTGAATTGTAAAGTAAACCAATCTACGGAGAGTCCACCAGATATTGATGCTCTTAATGGAGCTGTTAAAAGTTTAACCGTTGAAACGACAAAACCGCAAAATTGTGAGAAGTGTAAAAAAGAAATTAATGTTGGGGATGTAGTTATAACTGTAGATAAAGCTAAAAATATAATATGGCATCCGGGATGCTTCGTTTGTTCCGTGTGTGATGAATTACTCGTCGATCTTGTATATTTCTATTATAAGAATAAGTTATATTGTGGTAGAGATTTAGCAGCTTTATTAGGAATTCCAAGATGCTTTGCCTGCGACGAGGTAAGTCAATTATATATAAGAGAAATGTTATATTATTTAATTTATACTATATAATTTAATGTATTTCTTTTGCAGTTAATTTTTGTACGAGAATATACAGTTGCCGAAGGACACAATTATCACGTAAAACACTTTTGTTGCTGGGATTGCGACATTCCATTAGCTGGCCGACAATATATATCTGAAAATGATCATCCTTTGTGCCTTCCTTGTTATCAGAACACGTACGCGAAAACTTGTAATGCGTGTAACGCGGTAATCGCAGCTGATCAACAAGGCGTCGCTATAAAGAATTTAAACTTTCACGCGACAGAAATGTGTTTTTGTTGTTACATGTGTAAAAAATATTTACTGAACAGTAGAATGGCAGTAAAAGAGGATAAACTATTTTGTAGTAAGGATTGTATTTCCAAATTTTCCAATTGATTGAAAAATATTATTACTCGATACATATATATATGACGATTTGATATTATCAAAATATAAATCAAATTTATATTTTTTAACTTCGCTTATATTTTTGATTCAGCGAAACAGATTTACTTGCCATACAAGTATAACCACATTTTTCATAATAATAATACAATAATAACTGTGTGTGACTATACTTTAATAATAATAATAAGACTCATGAATTATGCATTTATAGAAAATCCATACTAAGTGTATACGATAATATACATTTTATTTTTTCCCTTACTTTATACATATTCATTTTGTTAATAATTAGTTTTATTACACAATTATTTTAAACAATGAGAATATGTAATTGAAATATTTCTTTTATACTTCGACTTTTATATAAAATTATAATATTTTTTAATAAACGAAAAATACAAAATGAACGTTTTCGAAAACATATTAAAAATGATTGAATTAAATCTTAAAAATTAAAGTATATTTATATGTATTGTAACAATTAGATTGTTTTATTATAATAAATGAGTAATATAGTATGTAAGATATTGTGTAACTTTTAAAACAAAATAATATGAATCTATATAATCAAGAAGAACTTATATTTTTGCATGTCAAACAAATTTGATAAAAATATTTATCTTATTACAAAAATGCCAAAAATACATTTTTTGTTTATTTGTTTATAATAATAAGATTATGTTTTCTCGTTAAGATAGAGTGATTATTTTTATAAATATATATTTATATATGTAAGATACACAATAGAGACATTATTAAGGCGAAATAATAACAAATATTCGTGCATAAACTTTAATGTTAGAAATTCCGATAAAAAATATTTTATATGAACGATCTATATAAGTAAACTTAACTTAGCTTTCACTCAGAATCGCTATCGATAACAGTTTGAATTCTTTTGTACGCGTTGCGAGTTTCGCGATATCGTGATGGAGTTTCCGGGGATATTATTGAATTCTTATTATTATCCATACCTCTGCGAGAGCGTGTAATACGTCCTATAAAAGAAAAACATTTTATGATATAAAAATTATGTATGATTCATAAAATGTATGTAGTTTAAGGAAAAAAAAGTAACCTTCTGATATAATATTGCTCTTATCTAATTCAGATACTTCTTTTAGTCTTTCATTATGTTCTTTCACTTTCTTGCACTTCTCCAAAGTCGGTCTTCCGCTAATTCCATGTTCTTCCAACAATGATTTTAGTCGTCTTACTCTAGCAGCATTAGACTTGCATCCTCTGCATAGTTCTTGATAGGATTTAACGTTAATACCAGCAGCTCTTATAAATTTTTTTAATGATTTTATCCTCTTATCATCTTCAAATTTCTAAAATAAGATACAATATTAATACACTGTTGTGTCATGCAATAAATATACATTTCATTCATCTATTTAAATTGTACTAACGTTAAAAGCACGTATCTTCTTTTTATCATCCTTTGCTTGATCTGGATCATTGTTACTTTCACTCTTGCTTCCGGATGATTCATTATCAGATGAATAGTGCTTTTGTTTGTCTTTATTTTCATCAACTGATTTGGTTACTCTTTCAGCAATTTCTTTGTTGTCATTCTTTTCAACGTCATTGTCTTTATCATCATCATCATTATCCTCATCTTCATTGTCATTAATCGAACTTTTATCATTGCCTTTCTTCAAATTAACTTTTCGTGCACCACGACCTCTTTTAGATTCAGTCGAAGGTTTGGTAGATCTTTTATTCAAATTTTTCTTAACTTTTTTCTTATTTTGTGGCTTATATTCTTCCTCTTCCATATTTTTATCTGAACTATCTTCGGAACCAGAAATTTTCGCGTTGGAAGATGTTCTAAGATTTTTTTGCTTTCCTAATTTAAGATTTTTCTTTTTCTCCTTCAAATTTTGTTCTTCAAATTCTTCTACTTCGGACGAACTAAATTCAAGTTCAGATTCATTCGGTTTAGCTTTGACAATAATCGTTTTTGTTCTTGGTTTAAGATCTTTATCTTTATCGCTTTCAGAACTAGATTCTTCCTTATCACTTGCGCATTCTACTGAAAGTTCTAGTCCATCTACTACTTCTGTTTCTGTAGTAGATGACATAGTAACATTCAAATTAATGCTTTCCTCTCCACTATTTTCCTTAGTTTTCAATGAATTGTTCATGCTCTCATTTGCAATAGATTTGTCAAGTGTTTCAATAATCTTCTGCATTGCATGAAAAGAAAAGAAAAGAAAAAACAAATATTAATATCTTTTATATAAAATATAAGTAAAATAATATTATAAATATTACACCCTTTTAACTATGGAACACTGAAAAGCAAAATGAGACAATAATATTTCATTAACTATAGGCAAACATTTCGCATTAGGTATCTATAATGTACGATATAATATAATTATATATTTATTACTTACAGAAGAATCCTCCTCTTTTGGTTCATCATTTGATTTTTCATCGTCAGTTTCATTTGTACTATCATTTGCTTTTGGCGAACTGTTTCCATTATTTTCTTGTTCTTTTTTTTCTTCTTCCTTTTCTTCCTCTTTTTCTTCTTTTACTTCTTTTTTCTCTTCTATTTCTTCTTCATCCTCTTCTTTGTCTTCTTCTTCGTCATTAGATTTCTTATTGATATTATTAGTCGATAAAGATATGCTTTCCTGATTATTCGTTGAGTTTGTATTTTCTTTTATTTCTTTCTTCACATCATCAGTTGCATCATGCGATGTTGATCTATTTGAAGCTGATACTTCTTGTTCTGTAGAATTGCGAGACTTCTTTGCAGGTAATGTTTCATCTTCAGAAGATATCGCACGTTGTCTTTTGCCTGCTGTTTTATTTGACTCGCTGGATACTTCTAAAGCAGACATCTCAACATCTGTTTCTTTACTCTTATTATAATGATCTAATTCGTTCATATTAAATTATGCAATCTGAAATGAAAAACTACAATTATATTATTTCGAAATATAGTTGATTAAACAGATTTTTTTTCATCACTGATGAGTAAGCAACTCTCGTATATTCGTGTAATACAAAATAAACGTCATCATTTAATATAGAATATAAACAATATCATACGCTATTAAATGAAAAAAAAGCAAGTTAATGATTTCATTACGTAAGCATTAATTACATTTTAAAAGTAATTAATTTAATGAAAAAATATATGCGTATATTACTTAAATAAATATTTTTCAAATACCGTTTGCATAAAAAAATAAGAAATTGCGTATTAGAATGTATATATAACCTAAAAGACAGACTAGCATTTGTCTTAAGTATATCTCAACGATTAAAAACAATAATCTTAAATAAATAATATTTATTAATTTTTTACGTTTATTTCATGCAACATACTTACAATCGCAAATGATTTAAATATTCTCAGCAAAATGTCTACAATGCATTATTTTATCCCGCCTTTTCTTCTATTTATTACACAATGGCGACCTACGCTTATCCCGCCTTTTCATATACATAAAAATATACATAGACCCTCGCGCGCGCATGGCACGAGAGGTAAAGTAGAGTATGCTGCAATTAAATATCCTAACGTTTTTATTAAATACTCTTAACTTTTATTCTAATTTATTTATAACTTTATATGTTTTAAAAAATTATGTATTTTATTATCTTTATTATCTTACAAATATACAAAAAAAAATAGACAAAAATTATTTTTTAGGCAGGTGTAAACAATAGTTTTGCGTGGCAACATTTAATAAACAATTGAATAGATGATACTTTTGTCAATAATTATTGTACTAAAATTAATAACCGGTGAATAAAAAATGTATTCCGAATCTCATAAAATATTTTTACAAACAATCATGCATAAAGGTATTTTACATGATCAGGATGGCAAAGAATTGGTGATAACATTGTTTGGTAAACAATATATTTAACTTTTTTATTTTTTTATTATTATTATAAGAAGTTACAATTATATTTTATGATTATAAATATATATATATTACATAATCTTGTGTTTTTTCAGGTAATGAGCAAATGAAAAATGTAATTTATGAAATAAATACAAACTTGGAACCGTTAAGCATGATGATTAAAGCAGTAACTTGTGAAATAACTGGTGAAACATATTGGGGGATTACAAGTACGATTCTACAAGATGTGAGCAGGTAATAAACATAATTGTATGTTAATAACGATAGTTATGATTAATTTATTTATTTTTTACATCATAGTTATCAGACGCAGTTTCCTAGAACTCATTTAGAATTGTTCAGAAAAATATTATCAAAAATAATATCGGCGGGGGACGGTTGTGTTTCTAGTACTGTATGTCTTAATTTATGTTCATCCTTAGACGAAAAGTTGTTAAAAATAGATGCGACTAAGTTTTTGGAATACATGGTTGATAAAAAATGGCTCTTGTTGAAGGTAATCGATCATTGAATTATTCTTCATTTATATATCACAAACTATATTAACATATAAAATTATATTTTATTTTAGAATGGCAAATATTACATAGGAGTACGTAGTATAGTAGAATTGATGCCTTACTTCAAGGCCACTTACGATGATTCTCTTCACTCTTGTAACTTATGTAAAGAGATCGTCTTTTTTGTAAGATACATAGAATGATACTTATCTCTAATCTTATTTATAATATTTAAGAAAAAAATAATTATATTTCTTATTTTACAAAGGGTCAAAGATGTACTAATTGCGAGGCTAAGATGCACAAACCTTGTTTAGAGAAATACGCGGAAGTTGTGGATCCTCTGCAATGTGTTTCATGTAAAAATGATATAGAACTAGATTTAATAGGTATATATTTCTTTGGTTTACGTGAATATAAAAAAGCTACGACTGTTTCATTTTTGATAACTTTTATTCTCTAATTAATGTTTCAGAAGATTAATTGAGGTTGAAAGACTAATGACCAAAAAAAATATTAGCAAAATAAATTTTATAAGGAAATATATATTTTTTGCTACATATATATACAAAATTAATATACGAGATAAATATCATTGCAAAAAAACATACAATTAAAAAAAATTATGCTATAATAATAATAATTTACTTATATTATTCGTCTTATAATATAATTCATAGTAAAAATATATTCACATAGTTTAAATATGTACAATAGTCTATACAATGCAAACATTTAAATCAACGGTTTTGACTTTGTTCGTATTTTTCTCTCAAATATCTAAGACCAGCAGCTATTTTTTCCTCGTTAATAGTTTTATTTAAAACATTATTAATACTTTGACTAGGCTGATTCTTAAGATCATTGTTACATTTTAAAATATTTTGTTCTGTTGATGAACTATTTTGTTGATTGTTAATATTAAGAGAAAATTGTTTCGACATATTTGTGGAATTACTAGAGTTATTCAGTAAAGTATTTTGAACAGTAGATAATGTATTAGCAATAATCAAAGGATCAATTTGATTAGAGACTCGATCAGATTCTACAGTATCATCAGATTGTTTAATTTCTTCAGATTTTGATCCCAAGACTTTATCATAAACAGGTGCAAATTCTGGTATTCTTTCTTCTCTACATTTATATACCCATTCCTCTTGAGACATTTCTCGCCAAATTTTTTGATTTTCTAAAGTATCTTCCAATGCTTTTATTTGTTCTTCTTTTGTTTTCTCATTCTTTTTATATGTATCATCTTTAGATACTTCATTTTCTTTTATCAAAGAAACATTATAAGTATTATTAACGTCATTGGAAACATCAGCAGTATTTGTAGAATCCTCTTGGTCTTCTGGTTCAATAGGTAAACCAGCTCTAATTCTTTGTCTAATTCTAGCCGCTTTCAATCTATTTTGTTCCATCTTATCCTTCAAATCCTTCAATTCTTTGATACGCTTTTGCTTCTGTTCAGTTTCCTTTCTCAAATTATTTAAATTCTCCTGTTGTTTGGCTCTCTCTTCTTCGTCTTGCGAGAAAGCATAATATCCAACGCCATGTGCTCGAGCTTCGTCGAATAAAATATCTTGATAATGTATATCAAATTTATCAGCGAGCTTCTCTGTTTGTTCCTCCCATTTTCTTCTCATAACATCTATATCTGATTCCTTCATTGGTTGGGCCTCTTCGATCTTATTAGACTCATTACTCTGTTGCATATTTTTCTTCATTATTTCTTGTTTTAATAAATCATCCTTCTCACGCATCAGTGAGAGATCTTTGGCTAAGCATTTTCTTGTACGTCCAAAACAATCCTCGTACTCGACCCAACTGTCCTCCGGGTCTACGAATGTGTCATCGTAATCATCTTTAATGATTTCTTCTTCGGATTCATCTGATTTATTAGTAAAATCAACGAGATAATTGTCGTTACTATTTTTCAACTTTTTCAACTTTGTATACAATCTGGATTTGGCTTCCAACACGATCTTAGATTTTTTATGATTATTTATATCTTCTACATCTGTTAATTCTTTAGCAGAATTTTTATTATCGTTTTTGACTTGCTTTAACTTACGTTTAGGTCTAGTTGTTTGGGTTGTCTCGATATGTGCCTTGGCCTCTTTTACTTCCGTTTGTTTTCGTAAAAGTTCAGCTTTTAACCCTACCAAAGATGAAAAATTAACGTTTATTTTCTTCGCTGCGTTCATCTTTAATCTTTTTAATACGTCACTATTGAAATAAAATACATTATATTTTTAATAATTTATTTATTTATTTCTTCGAAATATGTTAAATTTCTTTAAATTTAAGAAATGTTTTTGTTACGTTTTACAGCACGAACGTACGCAACGATAGTTTGTCTCATTCAGAATAAGGAATCAAGGTCAGTTATATAGTTATTTCGCACATATGCCACTTGATGGCGTTGAGAACGCTAACAATCGATTACGTACATCGATCGTCATTTAGCACCACGTGCTTCAAGTATTTTTAGCTTTCATTTATTTCCAGCGTTTCTAACGTAAATATAAATGAATATACGATTATAAATGGCAGATATACAAAAATATATTATTTTAAATTAGTAACACATATTTGATTTATGTGAAACATATATTATTTAACCTATCTTATGGCTCTTATGAATATACACTCACGTGTGATTGAACTTGAAATATTTATTTTATTTTTATATTAATACAATAAAATCACTTACACATTAAAAAAATAAAAAAAAATAAACTAAAGATTATTCTATAATTAATAGCACAAATAAAAGATTCTTATAAATAAAACGTTATAGGACTAAAAAGGATTCTATGAATCAACCTCTCAATAGTATTTTCTTATCATTTATAATTTTAAAAAAATATAACTTCTTTTTATATATAAGATAATAAGGTACTGTTTTGGTTCCTTCTTTACTGTGACAGTAGGTTTTTTTCTTCCTTTCTGCACTTAAACATCTAAAATTTGTATAAATAAATTATTTGTAATTATATATATAAAACAAGAAGAAGAAGGAAAAGAAGAAATAACTTATTTACCATTAATACAGACTATTCATTTATTGAGACTTCTTTCCTATTTGATGTTGAATCATTCATCTTATTTTTATTATTTTTGTTTGAACCTGAAAGATCGAAGTCCACCAAATCTTTTTCCAAATTACTAGTATTAGTGGCTGCTTTCTGAAGAGTATTATTTTTTGATATTTCATTAGGTTCAATCTCCATTATTTCTTCTTCTTTATCTTCTTTTGAAGGAAAAGAAGAAAATTGTTCTTCTTCTTCTTCTTTTTCTTCTTCTTCTTCTTCTTCTTCTTCCGATAATAATTTATTGGCTTTTAATTCATTTTCCTTTTCATTTATAGCAACAGATTCCTTCATATGTGCTTTCTTCGAATGATTTGTTACATTATCTTTATTAATTTTTCTTGATCTTCCCTTAACCGGTTTAGAAATGTTCTCTTCGACATTATTTTCAGTTTTATCTGGAACATTATCTGTTTGATTCTGCATCTTCTTAGTAGTCTGTGATTTCGCTTTTTTTTCATCATTCATTACTACTTTAGTATTATTTTTTGTTGTTTTAGTTTTAGTATTAATCGCTTTTTTCTTTTCTTCTACTACAGCTTCATTTTTTTCTACAACTTTCTTTACTGGTTTCATTTTTGTTTTAGTTTCCTTAGTTTCCTTAGATTCCTTAGGTACTTTAGGTAGTTTAGGTAATTTTTCAGCAACATATTTTTTCTTTTCTTTAGTATCCGCTAGAATACTATCTGCTTCTTTAAGTGCTTCAACTTTTTTGGCTCTTGTGTTTGGTTTTACTTTGGCTAAAACGAAAATATTCATTTATACATTCATTCATACAAAAAGAAAAAAACTATAGATTTTATTATCACAAATAGCTGCTTGTTTCTTTTTATCTTCTATAGTAATCTAAGAAATCTAGTGATATATCATTTATTGAGAATAAACATAGATAAATTAGAAAATATACAAAAGCGAAATATAATTAGTTATAATTCGAGGAGTTTCTACAAAAACACGTATAACGATATAATTGAAAAATAATATCCTTGTGAGAACGTCATTTAAACTTATCATTTTTCTATTAAAAATATCTTTCTCTGAATTATTTTTCAAAATGGACGAAGCATCGATAAAATATAAAAATGTATGAGAAATAAAAAAAATATATATATATATGTATATATGTATATGTAAAAAAAAATGTATTTTGACTAGTTAAAAAATTGAAAAAAAAAAACAGTAAAACAAAGAGAAAGATAAAATAAATAAAATTAATCGTAAATAAATCGTATACCATCATCAACGGTGTTTAAGTCCGCAATATTTCCCGCCTTTTTTGGGATCTTTTTAGCACGAGTCTTTTTCGTAGGTATTTTTTCAGAAATCTCATCATTGGCTTCATCGATTAATCCATTCGAATCGTTAGAAGATAAATTATCCTCAGTTAAAGGTTTGGATTTCTTAATGACACGTTTTAATTTTGGCGTTTTTTCCTGAACCGGTTGTTCTTTAGCCGTAGGCTTTGCAGTAGTATCTGCCTTATTTCTCGTCCTTAATTTTTTAAGAGGCTCCAATTCAGTTTCTATTATTTCATTATTATTGTCAGCAGTATGGGTTTTGGTAGATTTCGTAGATTTCGTATCCTTCATTTTGACGACTGTTGATTTGGCGAGTTTTGTGCGTTTCGGAGGCGATAATTTACCGGTTTCCGCAAGTTTTTCCATCGACTCGATGTCGGATTGCTTTGCATTTCTACGTGATGCCATTTAATTTCTTTTATCTTTTTCCTTCTTTTTGTTTTTTTTTCTTTTTCTTCTTTTTTTTTTATTTTTAAGTTTCTTTTTTCGGATTTCTTTTTTTTTTAATTTATTTGCTTATGTTTACAGAGAAATATATATTTACGTAAATATTTTTACTTTTCTTTCGTTGCCTTCTATTTTCGAGATGATATTGCTCGAAAAAAATAAGTTGAACAATTCTTTTTAACGTTTTCTATATATCATCTATCTAGTCTTTCGTGTGTTTCATCAACGGTTAATAACGACTCCTCTTCGTACCGCCTTTTACCGGTGTTCACAACTTACATGCGCGACCAAGTTAATAGCAGATCCTGAAATCGGTACATCAGCGCCGTCTTTTTATACGAAAAAGACCCTATACGCATGAGATATTGATTTTCTAATTGACAATTGAAAATTGACTATCATAAAGGTATTATTTAGAAGTATTTATTACGTATCATGTTTCATTCCCCTCTTATTCCTTCCATTTATTATTTGTTGTAAGAAGTTGCCTTTTTTAAATTTTCAAACTTACATTTCGTTCTTATCATACAATTTTATTTTGTAAATTACTTGTCTTACAAATTTTATTTAATTTTAAGCAATAATCGTTAATAATACGAATTAAATACGTATACATTTCGATAGATTGAAAATATCAAATTTGCGAGTACGATTAATCATACATTGTTCGCGATTTTATTATCTTCGGATTCAAATTTCATAAAATTCGCGCCATTTTTTGTCCACATTTTCTCGAACTTGAGTAAGATGAGTCAGTGTTTTTATTCACTTCCTGGAGAAAGGATCGAGGAAGAACGTTTAACTTATCGATATTAAAATATACGGTTCATAGTAATATAATTATAGTAAAATTCATATTAATGTACGAGAAAAATAATAAATAACAAATCTTTAAATTAAAAAGTAAATTCGCGAATTAAACTAATAAAATCGTGATTAATTTGATGGCAGATGTCGCTCAAATTCATCCTCTATTTCTTCCTCTAGTGAACTTATTTTCATGTACGATAATATATTTATTTACACTGCAGCAAATAAAAATAAACTACACAGATAATCGATATATCGAGTAAATTTAAATTAATTTAAACAGAGTAATATATATATATATATATATACAATTTGTTTTAATTGAACATATTTGAAAATAAATGAATTTGTGTCTCGTCGATAAGTTTGGTTGAAATCGATCATGCGCAGTTAAAATTTCGTGAATCATCCCCCATTGATATGGTTTATTACATTCCATCTTATTACCGTTTGGTTCATGGGAAGAAAGGTGCCCCTTGTTGATCAAGGAGGCAAAGAGAAACAACGGCGGAAGTGGGGATCGTGCGCCATTTTCTATTTTTGCATAAGAGTGATTAGTGTGTTGTATGTGTACGTTTAGTGTATTAAATCAAGAAAATAATAATAATCATTTTGATGCTGATTTGCCGAAGCAATGAGATGATCGTTAAGAACACATATACCAAATACTACGATATAAGGTTTATCCAACTTATCGTTTGCATTATTACGATAAAGTTCGTTTTCGTTCGTTTATAAACACTTTTACTTCGTTCTCCTTTTTTTTCGAGGAGTGAATGGTGAGAAAAAATTGTATTTCAATAACCCAGCGATTGATTGTTAAATAAAATTAAAAAAAATAAAAAGAAAGAGAACGTGAGGGAGAAAGATCGAGAGAAAGAGAGTGAGAAAGAGAGATTGAGCGAGATAGAGGGGGGAAAGGGAGAGAGAGAGAGAGAGAGAGAGAGAGAGAGAGAGAGAGAGAAAGACAGAAAGAATAAAAGGATTTTCTTTATATCACTTAATAAAGAACAGTGACACATATATAAAAAGAAAATCAGTCTGTGATATTAAACAGTCTTAGAATATAGCCAAGTGTAAATTATACACAATCGCGTATACACATATATGTTGTGTGAAACATAGATAGATCGTATAAAGGACTAGAAAGATATATATATACATATATATATATATATAAAATATATATATATATCTCTATATATACATAAAGAGAGAGAGAGAGGGGGGGAGAGAAAGAGAGGAGAAAAAAGAGAGGAGAAAAAAGAGAGGAAGAGAGAAAGAAAAAAGAAATTAAAATAGTGTAATACCTTAAACTTTTCTCGTGGACGAAAGAAGAATGTCTTTGGAATCTGTGACAAGTGAAAAACAGCTGCTAAATCAAAAATCAACAGGTATTTAAAAAGTTTGTTATTTGGTATTTAAAGATTTTATCAACTGGTACATAAATGAAACATTACTTCTTCATTGCTTATCCCTCCTAGCAATATTTCCAATGCGTTTGTATAGAGTAGCGATTAGAACTATTCTTGTTGTTTGGGTGCTCATAGATCTTTCATTCTCTTATGCTCAATTATTTATTTCCTCCTCTTCGATTCTTATTGCTTTTGATTTTCAAATTCAGCATCGCATTATGACTATATTCCTTCTACTTTTCTCTTATATCTTTTATATTTCCATAAAAGTATACTAACATGTATGCGATCACTTTTTATTATCTAACAATAAATTAGATTAATTGGTTGAATAATTTTGTAACTTTAGCTTTTAGATAAATAAAGTTGGAAACAATATTCTTCAAATTATAATTAATATACATGATCAAACAAAACAATATTTTATTTCAGTTTCTCATAAATGTATTCTTGTCGATATACTAAAGGAAGGTTAATGATACAAGAATATTATTTGCCTTTATATAGTAATAATATATTTGAATTACAAAAGGAATTAACAAATACAAGTTTTTATTCGATCTTTTTGGTAACAAAATATAAAATAAAACTATAATACAAAAGAAACATTAATAATGCAAGCATATTATTTACTTTTATATTACAATAATATTTTAATGTCAAAAGAAAAAATATTGGGAAAAGGATATAAAAAAATGATTGATTAAAATATAAGTAAATTTAAGCATAAGTAGATGATAATAAAAAGTTAATATTTTCTTTGAGGTTTGAGCAATATTTACATTCTCATTTAAAACTCTTAATGTTGTAATTAAAAAATTAATAATTATTAACGAATAAATAGTTGCATTTGTTTATAACATTTTTGTTTCTCGAGGTTACATAATTTTTAATGTCTCATAAACGTATAAAAATATAATAAATAACTTTTTATTATAATTCTACTGATCCAAAATATTAATCCTTGAAATATTAATAATTTAAATAAGTTTTTTTCTTTTAGAAATTCAATCAGCATGACAATAATATAAATAGTATATGTACATAAATATATTTAAATTTATATAGCATTGCTTTACTTGTTGCTAATGTATATGATTTATTTGATTTATTTTGATAAACATTGTATGTTTAATTATTGCAAAGAAAAAAAAAGGAAAAGTCGGTTAAAAGTATTTAATTCGAATAAACCGTAACATCAGTTAATCCAAATACATGTAACAGATTTAATAACATCGTAAATATTTGATTGGATGGGAAGAATTTCGAAAGTCAAAGGTATACTTATGTTAGTCTAAAAACTTGGGCCAGGAGGCCAGTTAGTGTCGTATCATCCGAAGTAACGTATCTTTCTTCTATCGAGGTTAAATTTCAAATTCTCATCTGTTATCATCATCATCATAGAAATCTGTTTATTTCGTTTATCGATCTTCATTTTATTATTATTCCTTGTAATATAATTTATTATTTTTTTTCTTTTCACACAAATTCAGAAACCGCGTTAAGTGCACGCTAAAGCTTCGCATATATAACAATAATAATAATAATAATAATATTTTATGATAAAACGATTAAAATATATTGAAATTATCTGCTAGTATAATATTTCTTAAAATTGAATTTTACCAGTGAACATTCGAGATATACATACACGTACACAAATATATACTTAGAGATATATTCTCTGTTAACACAACTCAAATCTCAAAGTCCTTTTCGTCCTTTATTAGTAAATATTTAGCTTAAATTTCAGAACGGTTATAACGAAAAACAGAGAAATAAGTTGAGTGAAACGGATAGAAGAAGCGCAGTTTTGTAGCGAGCTCTATGATTTAAAGTACTTATACACATATATATATATATATTATAATATATTGTTATTAGGAAAAAGATATAGAGTTAGATTATAAAGCAGGACTACTACTATTTAGTTAAATTAAGTTTAAGGTGTGATTAAAGTTTAATTTTAAATTATAATCTAATTAAAAATGAGATTAGACCATGCTCAAACTTTAATCGGTTCAAACTGGTACCGACGATCTCGAAAACGTCCGCTTGTCGGACCCACAGGATCTCCATTCCTAGATGCGACTTTGGTAGTACAAACCCGAGCATGTCGATGGTTTCGTAAAAATAAATCAGTAAATCCGTTAAAACGGGTAACTTTCCGTAAGTACTTTCAATAATTTTTTTTTCCCATTGATTCTATCCATTTCTCTTTATGGAAAGATTTATATAGCAAAAGAAGAAAAAAAACAACTTTACTTTCCTGATTTATCCTCCCGTAGCTTAGGATATGGTTTTTTTTCCTTATTTTTATTTTAATAATAATAATAATAATAATAATACTGTATATATGTAACGTAAAATTTAATATAATACTTTATAATAAACTTTAGAAAAGAATATGTATTCTATATTGAGATCTTAACACATAAATTGTATAGATATTTAAATTTGTGATTTATACATTTATAATATTTTGTAATGAATAATTCTTTTTCGATGTGTTTTATAGGAGATGATGCAATTATATCCATGTCCGTGGCTGGGGAGGTAACTGATACTTCCATTATGGAAATTGGACGTTCAAGACCTCAATTTCAATATACAAGGGTATATATCAATCATTTCGAAAAGATTTTAGAGAAGATACATATTGTATATGTTGTAAATATTTTTGTTCATATTTAGGAGGAATTGATGACGATAAAAGGTTTACCTTTATCTAAACGCAGACCTGGTTTCCTGGATACTTCTTACAATAAGTACGACAATAATATTTAGTATTCCTATATTATTAATATTATTTATATTATCATATTTATTTTTATATATTTCTCCTTCGCATAAGGCTGATTTATTTATAAATTTTTCGTTTTTTTTTATTAATGTTAATTGTATCATCTGTAAATATATATTTTTTGAAATGTTTTTACCAAAGTACACGTGGTGTATGGGACCCTGAACGTTGGCATTCAAACAGAAAATGTAGTGACACGCCGCCTAAAGATGACAAAGGTATACGTTCCGAACCCATTACTGAAAATCATAACAAGCGTCGCAGTGGTGATCCTCGGGAACGAATACGAAAAGAACAGGATGGTATTGTTTTAAGTCCCCAAAGACGAAGTTTTAATTCTGGATGTTTTGTTAATGTGACGTGTAATGCGCCAAGTAGACGCTCTGAAAGTCCGATTGGTAAAACAGAGGTAAATTACATACGTATATATATTTCATTGTCGTTTACAGGGATTATCATTAAGAATATTTTAAATCCCTCCAAATCTTTCAGGTCAGTCATCGGGAAACAGTTCGACGGATCGGTAGTGGTAGAATTTTGACACGTGACATATGGGACTTCAGATCTGAAAATGAAAAACTTGAACCAGAACGTACAGATTTTTCATATATATCTGTTACACGTGATCGTGACAATAGAGAAAGTAAGGTAACTAAAGATCGTGAAAATATACGGGATAGAGAACGCGAACGGGATAATCTACGTGATCGGGATGAAAGAAATGAACGATATGAACGTCGATCATTTGGTCGTGACTTTGGAGATCGTGAAAGAGATCGTGATCGAGATAGGGGAGTGGATAGAACCGAGCGTAATCATCAGAATGATCGTGATAAGGAACGGGGACGCGAGAGAAGATTTAGTAATGATCGTAGAAAAAGCTGTGGTGATAATCGTGATGCAAATGAGCCCGAGTGGTTTAGCTCAGGACCTACGTCCCAACATGATACTATCGAGCTAAGAGGTTTTGAGGATATTCCAGAAGAAAAAGTAGTTAGTAATAGTGCCAATGTTAAAACTCGAAAATATCCTGCTCCAAAGAAACGTGGAAAACGGAATTCTTTAGAAAAAGATGACAAACCGAATGAGAATATAATTGGTCCTAAAGGACGTAGTACCCCAACAACCCTAGATCAATCAATTAATGCTGTACCTGCACCACATTCTCCTATATCTGAACAAAATGAGCCATCATCTGATTCTAACAAAGAATCTCAGGATACTAGCGATAGCATCATGACAGAATCAAGTACCGAGATGGCTGATAATTCCGAAGCTCGTAAAAATGATGAAAATAGTCATCCCGATTTTAATCTAGACGACTTCTTGAAATCTGATACTTTTCCTGGTGTTCCTGATTTGTTAACAGTAAGTAAATAAATATTAATTATGGAATAAATTAAACAGGTCTTTAAACATATTATTTTATATAGAATGGAGTTGGTTCAAATGGTGGATCATGTTCTCGATTTAGTCAATGGTTTAAAAGAGAAAGCCCTATTCAGCAACAAACAGAGAGTTGCAGAGCTATAGAGGAAGAAATGTTGAATAATTTACTCAATGATATTTCTGAACCAAATATTCAAATTCCATCAGTTACTGAATCAAATGCATACTTTGCTCCTATATCACCTGCTATTTCAACTACTAATAATACTACATCTACTACTGGTGTTAAACTCCTCGAAATGTTGCAACGTGGTAATAAGCAACAACAGCAACAGCAGCAGCAGCACAATCAAAATGGTCAAGCAGATTTAACTACACCAGTTATATCATTAATGAAAAATTCTTCTATCAAAGATATGGGTAAAATTATTTCTGATATTATAACATAGCTTGAAGATATTTTAATATGAACGTCTTGTAATACAATATATTATTTACAGAAGTAGGTGGAAAAGTTATGCATAGTGTAGAAGAATTGGAAGCACGAATGCGTGGCGGAGTTCCTCCACCTTCATCTACGGCTGAGCTGTCCCGTGTAAACAAGACTGAAGAGGATCTTTCTGCGTTTAAAAAATTGGTAAAATTGTTAAACTGTTTGTAAACTATCATATGATAGATCTACTTTTTATTTATTTTAATATTTTTATGCTTAAGCTTGCTCAAGTAACTGGTGGACAAGCTGTACCAGCAGCAAACGGGCCTATGCCTCAAAAACCACAATCTGTAACATTGATGCAGGTATTATTTGTTTTTTCTTTTTATGCTTTAAATATCTAACATTTTACTAACCTACTACATAATCAAATAAACTTTTTTGCAGTTGCTTAATTCACAATTAAAGACACCACAACAATCGGTTGTTCCTCAACAATCACATGCAGTTGCAGATCAAATTCATCCTTCAACATTCAATCACGTTGGTCCCATTGCTCCTACTCAACATGCACACCAAGTTCAAATGCAACACGAAAACTTAATTAAAGTATTGCATATACAACAGGTTTGTTATTATTCTTATGTGTCGATAATTCATTTTTAGCTCAAGTGTTTCTGTAATGTTTGCGATCTATGATATATTAGCAGCAACAGCAACAGCAACAACAACAGCAACAACAGCAGCAAAAGCAACGACAGCAGCAACAACAACACTCTGATATGCTGTCTATGATAATGAGTGGTCAACGATTGATGGGTGTTAGTCCTGTGCCAACAGATATGCAAATGATGATGAATAATGTTACTCAATCTGGTCAAGAATTAACACAAAGACCAGAAGCACAAGCTATAATTCAAGGTTTGCAGCAAGGGGAAATAACAAAACAACATTTGATTCAACAGATACAGGTATATATTTGCAATAAATAGATCTAATTAGTCAATGAATAATATTTATTGGTATTAATATTAAATTAATTAGAATCCTGGCTTGCAACATCGACATCGAGAGCTTCTCGTTAATATTCTCAAAATGTTTGGCGGAACTACTCCTCGCGCGATAAGTCCACATCCAAATGCACCTACTCCACAAGATCACATTTTGCATCAAATGTTGTATCAACAGCAGCAACAACAGCAACAGCAACGAATTCCTTCTCCTATGAATAATGGTAAGTGTCTATGAATATGATCGTCATTTGTTCTATTCTTTACTTTCCTAAAATTTTCTTTCTACTTTAATTCCAATATCGCGCAAATAAAAGACAATAAATATTAGAGATACAAAATGAATAATTGAACAAATTTTGTTAAATATACTATACTAATATGCACAGTATCTTATAAACTATTTGTATACGTTCGGAATGCAGCTTATTGCCCACCCCCAATAATTCCATCAAATGTAACAACCAGTCCCAACACATTATCAGCAAAACATTCAGGTAAAAAAAAAATATTTCAAAAGAAATAAAACGAAAAGACGAAACATTTATTCTCATTTATTAAATCTCCTCATATTTTTGATCTTGAAGAAACAAGATAAACTTTTATTCTAAAATTAATTAATAATTAAAAAGCTAGTGGAGAGAAAATTCAATAAAATAAGAATATTTTCAAAAGCAATTTTACAGAAGATAATTTGTGTGTTTTTAATAGTGATACCACACAGAGTACCTTCACCACGGGAACTGGTTATGCATACTCAATCCATTATGCAAAGTGCTTTAATTAAAAAGAAATTAGAAGAACAACGTGAGAACTTTCGCAAACGACAGGATCAGCAGCAGCAACAACAGATTCAACAAAGACCGTCCACTCCTGTTAATTCTCCAGCAAAGCAAACGATGAGCCCAACGCCACTTGCTTTCACGCCAACATCAGTATTACGAAAAATGACTGCCGATAAGGAACCAGAGGGTGCGAATCATTTAAACCATCAAGTAGAACCAATTTTCTCTATTTCTTCTCTTTATCATAACAGTCAGGATAGCTTTAGTAAGTTCCAAAATCGGTGCATTTCTACACTACAGCTATGCCAATTTTCCGATAGCATGTACAAACCTATAACTTGTGTTTTTAAATATCAAGAAAATCATTTTAATAATGCCTCGTCTATTGCATATAACATGGGAATGAACAATAGGTGTAATCTTGATACAGATGAAACAGCATTGAAAACTAAATATTTTTGTTCCTTAGTTCACAACCAAGATTCTAACGATAATTCGAATTTAAATATGTTAAAGGAAGATAAATTGATCGTTGATAATATCAAGCCTTCAGATAAAAATATAAGATTGAAAGAGATCAATGCAATATTAGATACAAATAGTAAAGTAGTGGAAGCAATCACTTTAAAAGATAAAGAATGTATCAAATTATCTATTAGAGATTCATCAATTTCAAAGGTTTTCGTTTAAAATTTTAACTTTTGTCAAATCAACAGCACATACATGCATATACATACACACACATACATTCCACCATATTTTGTTTTAAAAAAAAGAAACTTACAGTATATATATGTTATTTGAACTAGTAAGTATTGTAATACCGTATCTTCAATGTTTTTTGTAAACGAAAAAAATGCATATTTTTCTTTTTTATTTTTTTCTCGATACACACAGTATGTAACTTTTTATATGTTTATTTTTAGAAGATATATTCTTTTGAGTTCTGTAAAACGTGGTATGAAAACTATCACAAGTATAACTTGGTGTCTATATCACACAGATCGTTGAAAAAATTTATCTTGCTTCTAAAAGTTTGTCGAAATAGTTCTTATAATAAAATGCTTTATAAATATATCTCACGCTTTCAGTTTACCTCTACACTTTATTCATTTCTCCTTTACAAACTTACTCTAAGTAATTTGTCCTGCATATGTACACACAACTTTTATGTAGAAACTTCTATATGACACGTTATGTTATACTTATTATTAAGAAGAAACAATGGCACAAATATTATTTCATATATTTGTATATTATATTGAAAGTACTTTTTTTCATAAAAATGAATAGTTATTGTGTTCGTTACAATATTTATGTAAAAAAGAATCTATGTGTTTCCGTATCATATAAACATATAGATTCTAAATTGCATGCTACAAATACAGTATATAAATTTGCGTGAAAATTTTAAATTAAATGTTCGTTTGTATTTCAATAAGAAAAAGTTATTACCACTTAATATGTAAACTTTTTCTTTTAGTAGTAAATGATAATAATTTTTTATTTTTAACACATAACATTTCCAAATTTATATACTTTATTATTTAGATTGTTTTATATATTTATATGTATATTAATTTGATTGTATTTATGTGTTTAATACAGGTAACAGCAATGATCTAGCAAAACTGGCTAATCAAAATCAAGTGCAACAAATGCAATCTGCAGTGCAATTACTTACGCAAGGAGTTCTGTCGCGACATAATACATTGCGACCACAGCAGTCTATTCAATCTTCATGGTCTAATCCAAATATTAAGCAATATCCTGGTATGTTTGTTTGTATTGCTTAATACAGTGAATTGTTTAACAATTATTGAGTTAAGAAGATAATATGTAGTATACTTTCAATTTTAGGACGGCCAATTGTAAAAGGTGGTGGTGGTAACACTGTCAATCAGTATCAGTACAGCGGTAATTTAGACTTTCAACAACAACAACAACAACAACAACAACAGCAGCAGCAGCAACAACAACAGCAGCAGCAACAACAACAACAGCAGCAGCAGCAGCAGCAGCATAGACCTATGACGAATGTATATGGCAATCCCGCACGTTCCAAGCATGCTATGGCTCCCACAGTATCATCACATCATAGTGTTGCTCAATACAATGTTACTCAAAATACTATGATAAACCAACGATCAAATCATATGAATCCCCAAATGAAGCAGGTTCAACAAGTTCAATCACATATGGCTAATGTACATCAGCAACATCAGCAACATCAGCAACAACAGCAGCAGCAACAACAGCAGCAACAACAATCGCGATCTACAAATCCACAAGTGCAACTTATGTTGAATCAAAACTACAACTCCAATCGTTCAGGTATGTATTAGGTGTACAATTTTGCTTCCGCCGTTTTTTTTATAAGCCATCTATAGGATATACAATTTGGTAAATATGGATATTTTATACATATATCTTATATAACATCTTTTTGTTTATTTTGTTATCCAATACTAGTTTAAAACTAACAAGTTTATATGCGTTAAATACTTTTTGTTTTCCTTTTCCATAAATATATACGATTATCATATCCAGTATTCTTATGATCACATATTAAGTTCCAGATTGATGCTCAAATTGGAATAATTAGAACTCCCATTATACCTGTATTTCCTTTTTAATCCATTGGTTCAATCAGCAATCACATTGGATTTAAATTAAGTAATGAAATATTGGAAATTTTATATTAGCTTAATATTTTTGTTTATTATTGCAGCGTAATAAGGAACTACACATTACACAAAAATTATATTTTTTTCCAATTTTGTATCTATAATTTATAGAAAATGAATTATACCTATAATTAATAAGATATGTTTTTAGATGGACGAATGATGCGATCGCAACAATTAAATATCAACGTTGGCCGTCAAAACTCACCGGGTCTTGGATTTATGGGTAGCAATGGTGGAGACTTATCTCCAACATCAAATCAGTTAGCACGATGGTTTACTCCTGAACTTCTTGCGCAAGCTCGAGCTGGTAAACTACCAGAGCTTGTTCAAACAAATGTTTTGTCATTGGAAGAATTAGAAAGACTTCAACATGCTTCGACGAAGGTGCATAATTGATTCAACACGTTATTTTTCATTGACATTTTTGTTTCAAGTAGTATATTCCTGCTTTCGAATCTTCCATCAAAATTGGATTTGCTTTCGTATTAAAAGGCATGAGTATAAAAACAATTATTCGTATTACAAAAAAAAAAAACGAGCGCAAGTGATTTTTACGAAATGGTGCTGGAATTGTGAAATTTCTTGTTACGCAATCTCACGTGAAAAGAAGATTAAAAAAAGAAAAAAAAGAAAGATATACAATTAATTATATATTTTAGTCTTTCAAGCAGCGTATAGAGCGCAGTATTTCTTCTTCTTTTTATAAGCATACAAAGTATCTCATAGGTTAAATCCTTCGAAATTTCAGATTGTATGTTAAGTAGGAATTACAAATGTACAGAATAGAAAGAAGTATCGTGTAAGATTTACATAGCTATTTACATGTAAAAGCCATTTAATGACACATTATGTGAACAGCTTTCTGTTGTAAGAATGATGTATTGCTTATAAGACTGAAACACTAAACACAAAAATTCTTACCGACATAAATAACAGTCATAGAAAAATCAAGATTTTATTTTAAAATAAGAAATTATTAAATGGCAGCATAATCGTGTTTATTTGCCTAAATAAATTTATTTGCATGTAAGAGGATATTTCTTCATTATAATTAGGATACGTAATCTGATTATAATGTTAACGCCAACGATTATTTACACATTCACAACATTTATGTAAATTTGAATTATTTATTATTATAAGTGAATATCCTATGATGTGGTACAAAATAATAAATAGTAACACATGATCTATGTTTATTGTTACCACAAAAACTCGATACTTACTTGTATTAGAGATTTCACTATGTTTTTTGCTATATATATATTATATATATATATATATATATATATATATATAAAATAAATATATCACGGTAATGCATAAAATGAAAAATTCGCAACATTTTTTAGGCAAATAAGATATATGCTGATTTATGAAATTAGTTATAAATCACAGTGCTATGCTCTAATACAAATACCTATGTAAATTTAGACACTGCACTTGTCCTATCCCTATAGTTACAGATTACTGCGAACTTTATTAACTTGAAAAAGTATATATGAATGGAAGAGAGACAGGACTTCGTGCTCCTTAAGCATATATTATAAAAATAGATATATATATATATATATATATACTTTATAGAGGTATGTGTGTACAGTATCAATCTGACAGATGGAAGTATAAAATAATAATATTAATAATAATAATAGTAATAAAAATAATAATCTAAAAAAGAAAGATATCCAACACAAAATCGATAACAAAATGTTTCAAAGTTTTTATGTACTTACAAAAAAAAAATATTTCATCAGAAATAGAGAGAAACGGGTTTAACGAGATATCTTTGTACATTGAAAATATTTTTTCAATCGCTGCTGCTGCTAATTATAAGTTTATTGCTTTAATAATTAATATCTAATTAAACATTTCAATTGATTAAATTTAAATGAATATATAAAAACAAACAAATGAAAAAAAAAAACGGAAAGATGGCCGCCAACATTAGACAAGTCCATTCCTTTTCTCACTTTCTTTATATGTTGTATTATCTATTTTTATTTTCTTAGTTTATATTCGTTTAAATATCGCATTTTATAATAAGCGTATATCATTGGCTATATTTTCAATGAGATATTAGAAGATTCTATTTCCATTTATACTCATTACGTAATTTATACCGATTATAATGTTACGAGCTGTATTAAAAATATTAAACGCGTCCTACCCAATATTATTAGGAAAACTGTATTATAAACAGCATTAGCTACTGAGAAAAGTGAAAACAGTCTAATAAAAAATTCTTTATTTACGAAAAGATATACATCATTTAAAGATTAATTATTAGAAATTAGATAAAAGATAGAATGATTTTATATATAGTTATATACTTTTATATTTGTCGATTATTATATTTCCAATTAATTTAAATAATTATCTAGACAGAGAAATCTCGTTTCTTCTACTTTCTTCTAATCGATGGAAATTTATCTATAATATTAAAGCGAAATGTGTAACATCTATGAATATGTATGGTATATGATATATTATAATATAAATATATCATATATCATATATAATATAAACTGATCTCTTAATATTTCCTTATTGAACTTTTGAAGTTTAAAAATACGTCCATAATTATCAGAAAAAAAAGAAATCGCAGGAATGAATTATTACTATTATACAAAAAAGATTTACTTAAGTATATGATTTAGAATGAATTCAACGTGTGTAGAAGTGTATGTATTTGTAAAACGTTTGTGTATTCCATCTGAGCCTTTAACGAGAGAGAGAGGCTACAACATATTATCACCCAAATTATTTACTGAATGGAATAATTAGGAGAGAGACATATGTGTTTTGTTTCTATTTTTTAATTTTGCAAAAGTACTCACGTTTATATTTGATCTCTAATTAAAAGACAAAAAAAAAGAAAAAGAGGGGTTTTTGTTTCATTTAGTTTTACGGTGAGATAATAACGAGTGTCTTGTTTTAGGGAATATACGTATATATATATATACATCCACGCGTTGATTACGTGTACGTATATACGTTATAATCAAAGTAGTTTTATAGCCATAGTGCAATAAAAAAGAAAAGTTTCTTATAAAATTTTAAGAAATCTTATAAATGTTTAAGATTTTTAAAATTTAGTGACAAGCACCACGTATCTCTCCAATTAATTAATCATAATTCAGTTTAAAAGAGGGTTTCATCGTGTTAAAAAAGAAAAAAACGATTTATTATAAGAGTTCGTATAGTTAAATCAGAAATTCCTTTGTAAATAATTCATGTTTCTCTAAACGTAAGATAAAAAAAAAAGAAAAAAAAATGCGAAAGGATTTACTACTCTAGGATCATGCGTCGCGAAGATCGATCATTGTAAATAAAGTTATTATTAGAAACTTTAGATTATATTGCATCTATAAAAATGTCAAAAACGAATTAAACGAAAAAAAATGAAAAAAAAGAAAAAAGGAGAAAAATAAATACAAAGAATTGTAATTATAATTTAAACTTGAAATATTCTCGTTCATTTTCAATTAAGAGTATCGATCGTATACGACGAATATATTAAATATAAATATAGAATTTGAGATGCCTTGTAGACAATAAAATAATATTACATATATGAATGTTATAAAATCGTTAAAAAAAAAAAAAGAAAAAAAAAGAATAAGAAAAAAACTATTCAAAATTTATCTTCGAGATATCGAGATAAAAAAAAAATTATATAGATGATAAATGTTTGTAGTTTTCATCGCGAGATGTCACAACTGTTGAATTTACGAACGGTAGTGGTGGTGTGGTGAATGGTGATGGTAGTTCAAGGAAAAAGGTAATGCCGGATGTCGCTGTATTCTTGCAACGATTTGCAAATGGCAGATCAATGCAGAAAAGAGAATTCCGTGGCTTGTGTTTAATATTTGAAAAAAAGTAGATTGAACTAGCTAGTGTCCATAGTAGTAATCGAAAGTATATAACATGATACATATTGAGTTGTTCCATTAATGGGGGCTTTAAAAATATTAGCATTTAGAATCGTGTGAGAGACGATGTTAGTAGAAAGTAGTATCGTTATTTCAGTTGCATCTTATTTTTGATCAAGATATTAACAAAACGCAACAAAATAAGTTATCTTTTTGACTATCCGACGACGCTACGATGAAGACTTGACGCATAGGATGCGTGCGCTCGCGCACTCGCGTGTACGTGGTACAATTAACGCATTATACACATACGCACAGACACACATACACAAATATCACATTATTCGTACCATCCATTTTTGTTAAAAGGAAAGAGTTTAAAAGAGTAGTAGTAACGAAAGAGAAACTTATGTCATAGAAGAACATTAATCGCAGTGACGACAGATAGATATTAAGGTGATAGAGAATCGTTTTTAATCCACTTCGTTATACACGTACATCTATCTATCAATAGTCATAATAAACTATTATTCTTGGTAATACCGTGTACGGTAAGTACTGTAATCAAACTCGGTTTAATAAAACGAAGTTTCTGGCTGGAATTTTTTTGCATTCGCGATGGGTAGGTCATTGAATCGTCGGTTATACTAGTCCTTTATTTTATCGAATCCTAGGAGACGGATTCTCGGTATATTGCATAAATCGAGAGAGATGGCAGGATATGACACTTGAAGAAAGAAAGAAGAAAAAATAGTACGTATAAAAAACGTTTTAACGTGACACAGAGATTAACTACGCTACGAATATATAAATATCGGTTAACACGAAAGAAATATATTCATTGTATCGTTTGGAAAAATTGATTTAAAATATCATCGAAGAAATTGATCCCTCGTTGCCTAGGCTTTGTTAAAAGAATTCAACCAGTCTACGAAAACAGATGTCTCGATTGTAATGAGTGCAAAAGGTAAGTCGAATAAATAAAGTTAAACAATTATTTATACGTCATCCATCCTCGATGATAAAATATATATGTCCGTCGTCGTGTCGTCGTTGTTGAGACTAACAAGATTGTGGTGGCGCCATAGATAGAGGCAGCCATTGTGCGCCCTTTGAGGCAGCCTTTCGACTTAACATACACGACCATTTTCTCTTATACCTGTAACGAACATTCGAGAACTATACGGAGTCCTATGCGTTCTTTGAATCCGTTAGGAACTGATTAAACTTACGCCATTTTTTTCGGGGTTAACGCGAGTGCTTCTTATATGTCAATTTAAATACATAGGCTTTTTATGATTTCTTTTTCGTGTTACAAGCGTTTAATATGAATATATTGCAAACGTATTTTTTAACTCTATGCATAACAATGCATTATTAATTTAATTATTGGTGATAAAGTATGGTGTATAATTCACAGTGCATTGTAATATAACATTAATAATTTTTATATCGAATGAACAGTTTGATTTTATACTTGTAATTAGTAGTTCACATCATAATTAGATCTTGTTTTTCCTTGGAGTTCAATCTATCGTTTAACTGAAAGATTCATTTCAACAAAAAAGCTTTATCAATTATTTTTCTTCTCTGTTCTTTTTTTTTTTTTTTTTAATGACATCGATTTTCTCGGGTAAACTCTGACATTTTTCGCAGAATACGAAATAGTTAATCGTGATATATATATGTGTATACTTGAGTCACATATGTTTTAATAGGAACCAACGAAAGGTAAAACAATGTATAAAAAGTGTACGTATAGGATCGTTCGTAAAGAAAATGAAACGATCCAATGGTTTTGCGTTTCAATGTTCCTACGTCATAAATTTATATAGTGTTCGTTTAGTGTTGTGTCGTAATATTGTGAAACATTATCTTTATCGTAGACTATATTTTCTTTTCCTAAAACTGAAGAAACAGATTTAGTGTTCATCGTGCTTAAGCTAACTTAGAAAATGTTTACAAGTGAAGATCAGCGAGAGTTCGAAAGTGATATATGAAATGTGCATAAGTGAGGTTGGTGGTTCTTTATGTGTTCATTATTTCTTCTCGATAATAATGCTACAAATAAAATTAGCGTAAAAATGTAGATCGTGTGAGAGTTTCTTGTCCGGAAGTGAAGCTTTTTCTTTTTTTTTGTAACGGATGTGACAACGCATATATACTTCCACTGCAGAATGGTCATCAACTTATCATGAGTGATCGTGACTATTATCAAGATTTTTAATTATCAAAAACAAATAAATACTTATACGATAGTTTGTTGTACTTTTTAAGGTATTTAACTATTTTTTGATAAAGCGTGTAAATATGTGTAAACGTCGCGATAACTGTTTACCTTAACGCATTGTTCAACATAACAAAATGGCGTTGATCTAGTCGTAATGGTGTACTATCTGATAGAGTCGGCAATTTCTTCTTATATAATGCAAATAGATGTTCTTTTAGTAATATATATACATATTTACGTATATATGTAAACATTTTTTTAAAAAAAATGTGCAATAAAGTACGCAAACTTATGAATACTTTCGTACAATAGTACACGGGAGCATGATTTAAGAAAGATGTTGCTAGGGTTTTACGGTGTCGCCACCTACGTCTTCAACATTTTCCAGAAATGGACAGTACAGTTCCGAAGTTTGATACGTTCAGTATAGATTCGAAGTATTTTGTGATAAAATAATTCTTTTCGGATTATTTAATTAATTGTAATTATAAACATATTATTTATTTCATTTTTACAAATTCGTTGTAATTCTTATATGCATTTTTTACATAACACAAATACGTGTAGATTTGTTGCTTCCCATATCTCTTCAGTTTTTTCTTATTTTTTCTTTTTATATAGAAATATAGCATAGTTAAGAAATATTTTTATGTTGATACAGGTAAATTAAAAATAAACGAAGAGAAGATGGACGAATATAGTAAGAAATTCGCAGAAATGCAAAAATACATTCCGTTTTTAGAAGCTATGATCGAGAGGTTACAAAATGTTAAGGACGAGTCAAGAGAGATTCAATTGCAAAAGATGCAAAGCCTTCATGGAATTTTGTCTAATAGTAAACGGAAGTACGTCACATTTCTATATTTTGTTTAACATAATACTGTATAACGGTGTGAACAATTTATGAGATAAATTTAGTAGTTAATAGATATTTTTTTCTTTTTATTTTGTATTTGTGCGTATACGCAAGTTGTCACAATAATTTTTTTGGTACAAACTATAATAATTACAAACATACATAAATATATTTAATAAATACTGACAATTGATTTATTAATGGAACAGGTTAAAGATTGAAACTTTAAAAAGATGCGAAGATGTTCTACAAAAGTTGTACAATAAAGTTGAAAAGGTAGGTACTCTTATTTATTATGCAATTTTCATTTAAACATGTTCATTGTAATATTTTAAATACAGATTTTGCATTCCAAATTCACCTTTCTGGAAGTTAAGTTCACCCGTTTGCAAATCAAATTTTTACCTTTTTGGAGTGCAAATCTTGTATAAATATATATATATATATATATGTTCTTTTAACGTACGAATATTTTATCATCGTTATATTATTTTTGGACGTTTTATATCACTTTATTCATAATCTTGTACGAATTTATAAAAGACAAATGTAGTTTTTCCTATTAATTTTTTGTTCATTTTATTTTTTATGTATAACACTAATAAACATCATTCATACACATAAATATATGTGCAAAACATCAAGTTCACAAAACATTAAATGTGTTATCTATGGCTTTAGATTTATTTGACTACTAATTCTACGGCCGCAATATTGTTTCACTTAATACATTGTAGACTGCAAATTACATAATTATTATTATTATTATTATGTATATGTATATACAACAAGTTGTATAAGTATTATTCGCACAAATTGTAATTCTATATTGCCATTGCACAAAATTTGTTTGATTAATGGTATTATGGTTTGTTAATCTATTTCAACTTTCAAAATGATATTATGAATGTTTCTCTCTCTCTCTATCGCTCTGTATTTTTTAGTTATTTCAGGCTTTCGTAGAGTGCATGTTTTATTAGTGTATTTTAATTATTCTAATTCGACACGAGTTTCAGGGAAATACACCAGGTATTCATGTGTCAAACAAAAAATCCGGGGACGTTGGTTCGCAGCCGACAGCGTATGTATAGAAATTCTTCAATTTGATAATATTTAATGTAAAACAAAAATTTATTTCTTTATAAAGCACATGTAAAATAAATTATTATTTTTATTATTTTGCATTCGCTGAACGTAAAAATATCTTCGATTTACAGTTGATTATGAAGATACATACATATGTGTATAAAGTACTGAACAGAATTATTTGCACAAATTATATTTTCCTATAAAATTCTATATAAATATATGTAAAAGAAAGATATACATTAAATATAACAAAGTTAATAAAGAATCATACGTTTTACATATGTACTGAAAATTTAAGAAATGAAATTATAGGAAAATTCTATTTGTGCCAATATTTTTATTAGATGCATAGCAATAGAATAGGACAATATATTTTTCAGTTCATCGGACGATGAAAATCGTAACAAGAAGAACAATGAATCAACCGAAATTGAAGCCATGACATCAAAAGTAGCGGTAGAAGAAACTCCAGCCAGCCCGAGTCCTCCAGTGAGTCCTGAAACGGTTTCTCAAACGGCTCCAATAATTATACCTACAGAAAGAAGCGTAGATTCGATATTGGAACTCTGCGATGAGCATATAAATTTGAATGAAATGGATATGTCTCACAGCATTAAACCAATCGTAATACCGACTGAACGTAGTTGTGATATAGGTAGACACTCGCCGAATTCGAGAATTGGTTCGATTGAGAGAGAAGATAGCGATGATCTTACCTGTTCCGAATGGGATATGTTAGAAGAATCTGAGATACAAAGACCTAAATTTATTAGAGGTTCCTGGAAGCCTGTGGTTACTAGTAGTAATCATGATGCTCCGAACGCGACTAAACTAATAAGTTTCAATTTACCGCAAAAAATGACAGATATGCAAATGCTAACAAAATCACGGCATATAGTTACCGTTCCAGTACCTTCGTTAGGAGGTTCCAGAAGGCTGTCGTCGGTTTTAGAAAAAAATATGACCGGATTAGATTTAGATGCAATTAATTCTAATTCTAAACCAGAATCGCCCATCAACGTTCCAGAAGTTTTACTTAAATCACCCGATTCAGAGATTTTGTTCTCTAAACATAAGAATATTTCATCAAGGGTAAAGGATGGTGGATTTTCCACACCAAAATCAAACTCAAAGCCACCAGCCATGCTAGTTTCACCGCCACCTGTCTCAACTGAACCACCACTCTCTATCGAGGATTTAGCCGAATTACTAAACGAGGAAGAAGACACAGATAATAATAAGAAGAAAGATGATCAATCGCAAGATAATTCGGATCTTAAAAGATTAGGATTGGGGGACAAGCCAGCAGAGGAAACTCCAACAAAGAAGGATAACAACAAAAAAGTATGTACCAATACTGATTTAAATACGTTCAAACAATTTTCGCTTTCTCAAGACGAAATTGATCGGGAAAGCGACAGACGTTGGGAAGAAACAGACAAACATATTATTAAACTTACACCGAGGAAACATTTGCCTAATGCAATGCATATATCGTTAAATGCAAAATCGGAAACAGTAAAGTCAAACGAAATAAAGGGTCCGTCATCATCCCATCAACATAATTTCTCTGCAAATATTGATAAATCACTTGACCATAGACATGGATCATCTTCGCCATCTTATAAAGTAGAATTACGTTACCCTGAAAATTATGATAGATATCAACGCCAAATGCGTGATAATGCCAATGATAAAATGTTGAATGTGCATCTTCGTTTGCAAGATGAAGAAATGGGAGGAAACGTGCATATTTCGCATGGTGGTCCCGTTATACAAGAGGACAAAAATGCAATGCTGTATCAAAGACGTGCGCAAACTCCTATCTCAGGAGATGGGCCAAGAGTAGATCCTTCGGGTCAACAGGAACATTTTAATCGGCAATCTGTAAACCAGTCTTTATGGCCATCTCATCTTCCCTCAAATCAAAATGATTTTTATAATTCTCAGTGGAATTCTCCTAATAATTACAATCCAATAGGCAATAACTCGATGCAAAGTATACCAATGCCTAATTCCATGTATCAACAACATAACATGGGAATGCACCAAGATATGTGGAATTCTGGAATTCCAAACTCAGCTCCTATGGATTCACATTCAATTAATGATTCACCGATTAGATCAAATCATTATGGAATAAGACCACTATTGAATAATCCGCTTTCACAGAGTCAAGAAGTTGGTGGTCACGATGATTCTTCAATAATACCACCTCTGTTATCTCCTACCAATTACCCTCCTCAATATAGAGGCTTTCATGATGTCCCCTTTGATAGACCCGTTGATTATCCGATTGCAAGGCAATCGTGGGATCAACCAATAAATAGGTCGAATGAGTCATCTTATCGAAATGATCCCGAAATAGGTTGTTCGGATGGGATGATGGGAATGTCTAATTCATATTCAAGACCAAGTACACCTTGTCCCTGGAATAATAGAGATAGAGATCGATCTAATCGAGGTAGAAGTAGAGATGGTTATTTCAATGATAATAGATGCAGAGGTGAAGGAAGGAAAAGTTTTAATCGCGATAATCGCTCTAGATCTGATCGAGGAATTAGAGATATAGGACAACACAATGATTGGGATAATTGTAATCGATTTAATAGGGAAAGTCGAATTGTTGTTTCGGATAGAGATCCACGAATTCGAACAGAACACGGTACATCGTCTCTAAATTCAAATCATAATCGAGAAAGTAGTAGTAGTAACAATAGTAGTGGTTCTAATAGGGATCCACGTCTGACCAAGGATAAGCATTCTAATTCGAATAAATTTAAAGATGATGCATGTCCAAATAGAGATCCCAGAAAAAAACGTTCAGTATCGTCTTCGGCGTTACCTTTGACGCTACGAAAAATGAAACAAAAGTCGAAATCGAAAAAGAATGGAAATCACAATAAACGTAATTCTGGTAACAATAGCAAACAAACAAGCAACGACAAAACATCCATAGATAAAATGCAATCGCCTCTAGAAAGTTTATACGGTGTTATCGATACAAAAAGTAAGGGTGGTCGTTCTTATGGATTGCAAAAATTCAAAATACCAAAGATCAAACGATCAGAACAGTCTACTCATTCGTTGAGTAATAAAGCAAATGAAGAGAAAAAATCTAACAAAGATAAAAAGAGCTCGGACAAAGACGATACATCTTCTGAAGTTACGAGCAGTAGCGATGTGGCGAGCTCGAAAGAAAATTGGGACGTGGATGATAGTAATATTGAAGTAATACCTTCAAAAAACGAAAATGTTGCATCAGCGATAGAGACAACGAATGAGAAGAAAGATATTTCATCGCCGACAACTTCAACAGTTGATAAAGATGAACAAAAATTCGAGGAGCCTGATTCAATAACCAATACATCTGTGGCTACTTCCGAAACTATAGAAAATCCAAAGAAAGATGATACAGAAATAGACGGAGATAAAATAAAGGATGACCTTACCCAAGAATGGATCGAGGGTTTAATTAGGAAATCTTTAGAAAGCGGAGAAGGAAAGAAATTGTTTGAACAAGCTAAATTAATAAAAAAATTAGGCGAAGCATTGGAAGCTAAGAAATTAAAGAAAATTAAGAAGATCATTGAATCTGAATCTGAAAGTAGTAGTTCGGATAAGAATGCAAACGCTGAGATGAAAAAGGTACAAGTTAAGAAAAAGCGACGTGTTATTGTTTCTTCTGATAGTTCTGAAGAAGATTGTTTAGCTGAAAGATTGGGTATATTAAATAATTTATCTGACGAAAAAGACGAGAATAATGAACTCAATAAAGACAATAAAGATAATAATATTAAATTAGACAGTAGTGATACTGATGAAAAGAATCAGAAAGAATCTCTTCAGATGTCTTCTGAATCTAAGGAACTTGTAAGTACTGATGAGAAATTTAATATTGATCATTTGAAAAGCTCCCCTACTGTTGTGGTAAAGTCTGAAATAACCGAAATGTCGGAAATTAATAACGATACGAATGAAATTGTCGAGAATAGCAATGATAAAAAGATAATTGAGGTCAAGGAGGATGACTTAGAACAAAGACTAAAATGTACAGAAGAATTTAATGTAAATGAACAATTTACACCAATCGAGAATACTTCTTTAAAGAATGAAATCATTGAAGATAAAGAAAGTGTTTTTAAAATGTCCAAACCAAAAACAAAAAGAAGAAATTCTTTGGAAATGTTACAGGAAGATATTCGAGAAATGTTTATTAGCGAAGGTGTAGTAACTGCTACAGGGCATCGTATGTGTCGAATTTTGAAAGAAAATCCAACGAGTACTTCTACTACAATTATGTCTACGAGTAACTCGAATTCGATATCCAAAAAACCAGAAGCAAGCAAACTATTGACTAAGCAGAACAATGTGGAGATAGAAAGTAAAGAACAAGTATTAAATATCTCTAAATCAAAGAAAGTTCCTAGAATTCGAAATAACCAAAAGTTAAGTAAAACTAAATGCAAGAATAAAAAGGAAGTGCAAAGGCTTACACGTCAACGTTTGAAGGGAAAAGCTTTCAGCTCTGATAGCGAGGAAGATCAACCTTTATCTTTGCGAACTAATAATCGAGAATGGAGTAGTAACAAAAATTTCGATGTTTCTAAAGAAGAAGATGAAAAGTATCAAGATGCCGAAGTTCTACGTAGAAGTAAACGTGTACTTCATAAAGAAATTCCTAAAGAGGCTCGAGTTCTTATAGAAAAAACGGATATTGTCAAAATCGAATCTTCCAAGACAATGTTTGATAGTTCTTCGGACGAAAGTTTTAATATAGATGTAGCAGAATTAACTACTACTATAGATAATTCATTTAATACAGAAAAAGAACCAAGTCATAGCTCACTGCAAGTAGCATCTCCTAAGAGTAGTAGATCAAACATTCCGAATCTCTCTAAGAAGGGTTTAAAAAGAAAACGTTCAACACTTCTCAGTGTCCATAAAATTGAAGATGTTGCATCGATTACGGACGAAGAGAGTATTGTTTCAGATATCTCCATGTCAAGTAGTATAGCTTCTGGAAAGAAAGTTAATAATAATCTTGATAAACCCAATAACAGTAAAGAATTATTAGACAGTGATACTGTAGAAGAACTAGTATCTTCCAAAGCAAACAAAAACGTATCTAAATTAGAGAAAGTAAGCGACGTTGATGCTGATGATGATGTAAATGATTCTATACGTATTGAGCAAAGTCAAAAGAAAATTTCAGTTAGAAGAAAAAGAAAGAAATTAAATTGGCAGATGGGGATTTTATCAAAAAAGAAAAGGAAAAAAGTGTCACCTACAGTACAAGTACAATCTGATCGAATTATCCCGGAAATTCAAGGTACACTTGAGAAAGTAGATGTTCAAAAAGATAAGCCTGATATAATGGAAAAGTTAAAAAATCCAGTAGCAAGTATACCAGACAAAGAAGAACATAAAAAAGAATCTATTTTATCCTCTGTTGATTATGAAATTAATGAGGCCAAAGATAATGTTATAAATGGTGAAGAAAACAATAAGAAAAAAGATACTAAACAAAAAACTACAGAAAAAACTACAGAAGAAACTAAAGAAAAAGATTGTGCAAATGCACCTTTAGTGTCCCCTACACGTGACGTGGAAAATATTGTAATCAAAACAGAAAATAAAGAAATGTCACCATCAAAGGATGATAAACAGTGCGTAATGTGGCGTAATTTAAGCGTACAACAGTTAATTGAATATGCTTGGTCAGGTCATCAAAAATATAAGTGCTTATATTGTCCGTTTAATGGTAAAAGTATTATTCATCATTATAAATTGAATCATCCTGGAAAAGAAGTTTCAATATCTAGATTTAAATCAGAAGAAGCATATTTTGCAATAGAAGAAGCTAAAAATAATAATTATGAAAAGATATGTTCAAAATTTCCAGAGATAAAATCTTATTCATTTAATTGTAGATTTTGTTATTTCACTATCAAAGGAACTAAAGATGCTGCCATTGAAGAATTTTATGAACATTGTACAGCACACACTGGAGAATATAGATTTGAATGTAAGAAATGCTCTTATGAAACTATTACTAAACCATCTATGCGTACTCATTATTATAAAAATTGTCGCAAATATAGTGGTACTTTTAATAATATCGTAAAAGTAGATCCAATACCAAAAGAGAACGGTATATATGGATATTTGTGTTCTGCGTGCAATTATGTACAATTGAAAGAAATTAATCTTCAGAAACATTTGAAAATTTGGCATCTCAATGTCGCGGATGTAAATATTATTAAGATAAATATGTCAACTAACACGGCTGACATTACAAGCATAATTTCATTAATTAACCATGATTTGAAAATGAAGCTTAAAACAAATAAAACTTCTGAATCAGTAGAACAAGAAATGAAGAATGAACAAACGAAGGATGAACAAACGAAGGATAAACAAACGAAAGATGAACAAACGAAGGATGAACAAACGGAGGATGAACAAACGAAAGATGCACAAGTTGTTTCTAATAATGATGATGTAAATACAATTATTCTGACACCAGCTATTTCTAAAGAGAAAAATAAAGAAGATAAAATGAAAAAAAAATCTACGACTAATAAAAATAAGTCAAATATTGCATCTAAGGCTGAAACACAATCGACACTGCCTGAAAAGGGATCAGAAGAACTGACAGTACCGAGTACTATTAATAATAAATTAAGTGTATTCGTATGTCCGCCTGAGTTAGAGCGTAAGGAAGTAGAAATTCAATTGGAACGAAAAAAGAAAATGCAAGAAATTGTTGAAAACTTTGGAATTAAAGTATATAAAGATGTTTCCGAAAAGAAGAAATCTATTATCGACACTCTAAAAGATAAAATGAAAACGAATGTGCGAAAAGAAGATAGACAGAATAAAGATCTTATTTCAACAAGCAATGTTTCTGAATTATGTCTTTCAAACGACTCTGTTTCTTCTACTAGTTCAACACCATCTCAAAGTAATACAAAGACAATGGAGCTATCTATATCAAATACCAAAACAATAAATGAGCAAGATAATATTACCGATGTGGTTGAAAACAATTCAAATCTCAGTTTTGAAAAAACAGATGTCCAAGATCCCTCACTATCCACAAATATTGATAATAAGACGGTTGAAAGCGAAATTGAGACAAGCGATAATGAAACTACTAGAGAGTCTGCAACCATTTATGATTCAGATTCTAGTAGCGAGCAAACGGACACAGAAATAACTACAGATGTAAACACAATATTAAAAGAAACTTCCAATATTACTGCATCGTCAAAAGATCCGATGATGACAACCATACAAAGACTTGCCGCTCAATTACAAAGTACAAAATCACGTGATGAAGATGCATCTGAAAATCTTACTAATACTCTAATTGATAATATCAACATTACATTTATACCAAAACCTCCAAATGTAATACCTATTTCCAGCCTTAAACATTTGTTTGATAAACAAAATCAAACAATACACGAGTTTACAAAACCGGTCGCAAATGATGACAATGAACCAAAAAATTTCCTCAGATTCAGACGTTTAAGCGGTGATATGCTTTCTGTGCCTACTCAACCTTCAGAAAATCAAGAAGACAGGCTATCTTTAAGTGGTAATTAGTTAAAGAGTCAAGTATATATAGTTATATATACAAATAATACTATTTTATATATCTTTAATATTTGTATATTTTTTATTAGCAGCGAGTCAATCTGATATTGTAGGTGACGTATTACAAACGGATACAGAAGAAGAATGTTCATTTTTAAAAATCGAGAATGTAGTTAGTCTTGCACCATCTACTGAAAGTGTCGAAAGTGAAAATACTATTGTAAGTATCTTCCAAATATTTATTAATGTTAATTTTAAGTATAAGATCAAATTTGTATAATAATATCAAAAAGTTATTAATATAATATATTCTCTTTTAGATAAATGATATCAGAAAAGCTGTTGAAACTTTATCAGTTAAACATCAAACAGTCTCATTGTTAAAAACTTCTTCTAATCAACCATTATTTTTAAAAAGAATTAATCCTGTGGCTATAAGACCAGCAATTGGAACACCAGGTGTTTCTCATGAACCTTTACAATTAATACCACTCAAAGCAGTCAAAGCAGTCAAAGCAACCAAAACAACCAAATCAGCCAAATCAGACAAATCAGATAAACAAGTCAAATCAATCAAATCACTAATGCCTAAACCATCAACAACTACTACCAATTTCATACCTATTGTTCCAAAGTCACAGATAATACAAATAGAACATAATCAATTACCATTTCAAGTATCTGTTGGTAAAGCTACTACTATATCACCAATAACTACTCATATTGCGGGATCGAACTCTCCATCTTTTACAAATCCAAATTACAAAATTTTAAAAGTGATTAAAACGACGCCTTCTCTTAGAGCAAAGGATTTAACAACTAAGTCGACAGTAGATAAATTGAAAACTTCCGACTGTTATATGGCCATGTTAAAACCTCAAAAACTCAGTCACTTATACAAATGTATGGGTCGTAATTGTTCTTTTACATCAGATTCTGAAATTTCATTTTGCAAACATTACAGTCTACATATGGTATCTTCAATGAATACAAATGATGCTTCTCCACATGATTATCAAAAATGTGCCTATTGTTATATGGTTCTAAGCGATTCCGCGCAAATGATAAACCACGTAAATGAGAAACATTCTCACTGTCGTTATCAATGTAATTGCTGTTTTTATAGAGCAATTACACCATCTTATGTACAAATACATCAGGTATTTTGAAAAACAAAACTATTCGTAAATTTTTAGATGTATATATTTCATTATTCTTATTTATTACTTCAATATTATAATTTTTCTAGGCGATATCTCACGCAAACAACGCAAATACTGGCATTTTGCTTGGTAAACAAAAAAAAGATATTCCAACTAAAGAGGATTTTAATCGCCGTGATTATGTAGAACCGTACATATGTCAACATGGTTTGTATGCTTTTTTTATTTTAAATAGAATTTATTTCTATTTCGTTTCTTTTTCTTTTTTTTATGTTCGTACTTCTATTGAAATTTCTAACGTAAAATATGAATTTTATTTTCAGCATGTGACAAGATGTTTTATACACCAGATGCATTCTTGCATCATTTAAAAGCAAAGCATCCTTTTATATCTAGTTATAAGTGTCACTTATGTCACTCATCATACATAAAACCACACCAGCTCGTAACAGTATGCAATTAAATATATAAAATATAATTATTTTTTTGGAATGCATGATTCTATGTTTATGTAATTATTCTTTATTATTTATAGCATTACAAAATTCATGGGATTAATAAACACCAATGCTTGTACTGTTTAAATGGTACAGACACATTTAGCGATATGCTTACCCATTTAAGTCTATTTCATTGTAATCGATTGCCACAAATTCTTGAACGTATTATATCAACAGAGGTATGGGGTAACTTTTCTGAGAAAGATGTTTTATCAAATAAATGATTTTAGCATTCGATTTAACTAATATCCATTAAAATTTCAGACACAATCTACAGACGTAATAAATCGACTGTCAATAAAAACTCTGGACATGAAAACGGCAAGCACAGTAGTAGATCCAACTGAAAATAACCAGGAAAATCCTGAATCGTCAGAAGACATTTCTATATTGGATGACAGAACGAAAGATACGACGGATACGGTGACTAATTTATTTGTAAAGGACAGTAATAAGGAAGGCAATTCTTCGTCATCCAATAATAGTTCTATAGGTTTTACAAATCAATCTTCAGACATAATAAATAATTCTAATAGTTGCAATGAAGCTCTTCAATTAGAAAATAAAACATCAGACACAAATATTAATCCGGAAGGAAAGTATCATATTTCAAGGCATATTCTTCATGAACCTGAATTACAATTATTATCTGGCGTAGATGGAGATATCAGCGCAGTAGATCCATTACAATTAACAAATTCATTAGATTGTGCGGATGAATACGTTAATATCAATGTTTTAGACAATCCTAATTTCGTGAAAAATTTGGCTAATCAGAACAACTTTTCCGCTACTAAGAAATCTTTAATTAATGAAAACAAAACAGACGACAGTGATATAGAAATATTAGATCATATTGAAATTGCACAAGACGATAAGAAAAACATAGAAGAAAAGTTAAACCAAAGCGATAAGGATGTCCAAGAAACATCAGATATAATTTCAACTGAAAAACAAGAAATAAATATAACTCGTGACATAGAAGCCACGAATAGTTCTGATATTTTAAATACTAATGTTAAATCAGTAAAACCTTTGACTTTGGAAGATATTAAAGATACAGGTTGTACAGGAAATGAATTGTATAAATGTGGCTATGAAAATTGTGAATTCAATGCTATTAATTCCTCTATGCTTCGAGGACATATGAAAAAGTGTAGTCATAAAACAGCTGATAAGAATTCAAGTTGTGTACACTGCAAGAAACGTTTTGTTAAAGTTGGCTTTTTACTTGAACATTTAAAACTACATGAGTTAAAACGTTTTGGTTGTTCACTATGTGATGCACGATTTAGTGTTTCTTATCAAGCCAATAATCATATGAAAGTAAAGCATAAATTTCAATGCTCTAAAGTAATTCCTGCTGATCCAACAAATCCTTCAGCCGATGGCCTTTTTATTGTACAACATGTCGTAAGTAAACAATAGCAACGTAATAAATGTTATCTTATTAGTTTAAATTTCATAATAAAACATTTTAATCTTGTTTTACACAGTGGCCTAAAGAACGAAAAGGTAAAAAACGAAAAGGGGCAAGAGCATCGGAAAAAGATTTTGACAAAACTTTTGATATCGAAAAATTAATTTTTGGTCCTGACGAAATAGAATTGTTGCCTCGTCAAGCGATATATAATCGTGAGGTACAATGTGCTGTTTGTCCTTATACTACTAAAGTTAGAACTAATATTATTAGACATTTGCAACTTCATGCTAAAGACGAAACTGTACCAGAAATTGGTCCAGTCAATCCTGTACCTTGTTTAGATAAAAAAGAGAGAATGTTCGACAAAATGGTCAATCTTGCAAGTAGTTCTCATCAAAACGGTCGAATGGGAGGAAAACCTAAAGACTCTGAAAAAGATAACGATGAGAGTTTTATACCTAAATTTGTACCAGAGCACAAAAGGTATTATAAAGTATACGCGATTGTTACAAGCCAATTTGATTTTAGTATTTTTAATGTAATTATATCATTAATTATCTTTTGTTTTATTTGTAGATACGTATGCAGCGTAACAGAATGTAATTATCTTACTGTCGACGAAGCTATGTTACGTTACCATTTAAAAGCATTGCATTCTGATGAACAGTACTTCCGATGCCCACATTGTCCACAACCATCTCCGGGCCAAGAAGTACAAAACATAGCAATTGATAAAATGGGAGTTCATTTGAAAATGCATGATACTAGACTTTATAAATGTTCTCATTGTAATCATCATCACTATCATAGGTTTGTAATATTATTATGTTATTTAATCAGCTTAGATATATATGATCTTTATTTAATAGAAATGACAATTCAAACATATGACAAGTGTAAGACATAGAATTAATGAAAAATCAAAGAGTCAAACTCTTTCAATATTCTATAATATTAATTACTTCTGTTTAACACTTGTCAGATGTTTCATATATGTTATTAAGTATATGATGCATTGGATATACTCTCTGATAGTGATGGAATGTTGTATAGGCATATCATTGAGAGACATCTTTCTGATAAACATCCGGAGAAAAGACCATTTGTCAAAGTAATTAGGGAATTAGAAAGTACAGAAAATAACGTTCAACAACCAGCTCAAGAAAAAATAGAAAAAGAAATTCCAGATCCAGATGGTAACCATTGGAAATGTAACATTTGTGAATTTAAATGTGTTTACAAAACTGAAATGATATCTCATTTATCTCTAACCCACGAAGAAAAGACTCAATTCAAATGTACTGCCTGCGGTTATAAGACAAATGTAAAAGTACTTCTCGAACAACATATTACCTTCAAACATGTGGGTGAACCAAGTATTATTAATTATATCATGAATTATGAAAAAATAAAAGGTATAAGTAAAAAATCAGGGGATACGGTTGAGCAAGGAGGACAAGATGAACCGTTCGATACTACTCCTCTTTGGAGAAGAGATATGCCACGAGTGAGACATATTCGTGGTATCCTTTTAGAGGATGAAGAAGTGGCTTTAAAAACTGAAACATCTATCAAACAAGGAAAAAGAAAAAGTGATTCGGATCTAGCTTCTACTAAACCAGCCAAAATTAAACACGGCAAATCAGTTTCTTTAGATGAAAATAAGCATTGTAATGAAAAATCAAAACGTTCTCTGTCGTGCGAGAAAATTGAAGTGAATAATTCTGTTGGAAGTGAAAGTAATATGTCGAAGGAAATAATCACGGATAATAGTAATATTTCACTTGAAAAAACACCATCGAAATCAAATAAGATTGAAGAAATTGATAATGAATCAGACGTAGAAGTATTTGGACCTTATGGAAGTCCTGTGAATAATTTGTATGTGTGTACATTGTGTGATCAATATAAGACAAAATACAAGCACGATATGCGGGATCATCTTTACAGAGAATTAAATTACTCAAGGTAAATATGAATCACTCATTTGTCCAATCGATTAACTTCATAAAATAAAATGTAGAGAAAATTGATAAAGTAATATATATTGTTATATCATTTATTATTGAACGATCATAAAAATTGTTTTCATTTAACACGATGTTAAGCCTAATTATTAATTAATAATAAGCTTGCTTGAGACTCAAATGTAAATATCGTATGATATATAATTAATATTTATTAATGCTCATTTAGATGGCATTGCAAGGGTTGTGGATTCTTGTCTGTAAATCGTAATGCATTGTTGAAACATTTTTCAAGACGTCACGGTGGAGGACGACCGGATCATGAACCTCTTTCTCCTGATTATTCTATTGAACAATGGGTATGTTTACAAAATCGTATATTACATTGTACGAACATCAAAGATTATTATATTATCAATTTTGTATTTTGTAGGTCTGTACTTTGCTTAAGAGACAAACTGATATAATGAAAGGATTAATACCGAAACCAGATAATAAGAATAAGTCTTCTATTACTAAAAGTAATTACAATATTATTAAGAAAGGTGAAATTTTAAAAAACTTATGTTCAAAAAGAAAGAAGATAAGATATAACGCGACTAAAAAAATTAAAACTATTGATATAAATAGTAATGACGACAGTGATAATACAGATAAGGATAAGAACAAAGATAAAGATAAGAATAAAGATAAAGATAAGGATAAGAATAAGGATAAAAGTAAGGATATGGATATGGATATGGATATGGATATGGATAAGGATAAGGATAAGGACAAGGATAAAGATAAAAATAAGGATAAAGATAATGCTAATGCTGATGCTGATGCTGATGCTGATGCTGATACTGATGCTGATACTGATGCTAATACCGATGCTAATGCCAATGCTAATGTCGATGCTAATGTTAATGGTAAAGGTAATGGTAATGGTAACGATAATGATAATAATGATTATGATGATGAAGATGATGATGACGATAACGATGACGATGACGATGACGATAATTATGATGATAATAGCGATAGTAGCAAGAATCCTGTCATTAATACTAATAAATCGGGTCAAGAAAAAGATGTAGAAGCAAAGAAAAGTAAAGGTAAATTTGACAAATCTTTTATCTATCGATAATTCTATGTATTATATATTATATATTATATATATTATAAGTTTATATATTATTTATATTATGTTTTTTTTTTAATAATATAAATATTATAAATACGTTACTAATTAAATTAAAATATTTTATACAGATTTACTAAAGAATAATGCGGATAATCATTTAACTTGTAAACATTGCAAAATGAGATTTACTAAATTGAGTGGATTTAAATTACATGTGCAAATTGCACATTTAAAATGTCTTCAATATCTTTGTCCTTATTGTGATCGAAACACCAGCTATAAAAACGCGATGCGTCAACATATTCGTACAAAACATCTTGGTTTGGCTGAGAAAATCATTCATAATCCTATACCCAATGACCTGGAATTAACTGATGATTTTTGGTTGAAGGAATATGGTGTTATGAATTTGAAAGAACGTAAAAGAAGAAGTCAAATAAAAGAGAGTTCTGCTACTGGTAGCGATAAAACTGATCAAGTACCAAGTGAAATATTAGGAGATTGTAAACAGTGTGGTTTTATTGCTTTGAATCGTCATGAACTGGAAGTACATCTGGAAATGCACGGGCCAAAAACAGATTTTAAGTGTCAATATTGTGATTTTAATTGTGATTCAAAAGCAGATATTGAAAAACATTTGGATACCAGTCATCCTCGTGTACCATCTAACATTACAGAAGTTTCTATGGAAAATATTGCATCTACTAGCAGTGATGTAAATGCAGAGAAATCTACAAATGATAACAAAGTTTTAAATACAAATAATGAAAATTGTACAAATAATTGTGATTCAAAAGAAGTAAGATACTCTTGCTATTATTGCAAAATTCAAAGTAATTCTATAGATGTATTACGAAGACATTGGAGTTCATGTCATCACACTTCGACAGTAATTAATGAATTAGAAGGAATAAAAGTAAATCTTCCATTTAAATATAACGAAGTATACGTGCCAGTTCCAAATATAAAAAGTGGGGATAGTGATATTGAAATGACTGTAAAAACTGTTAATAGTAACGACACTAAAGCATGGATTTGTCAATGGTGCCACGAAGTATGTTATGCTGACTGCGATATGAAAAATCATCAAAATATGTTTCATTCTCATTTACCATTTCATTTCAAAACCAAGTGTGGGAAAGATTTACATAAAGTATATGTTTGTCCAATATGTTCTTTTAAAACAATTTTTATCAATGGCATGAGAAAACATGTAACCAGACACATAGATTTTTATAAATGTAAATATTGCTATGAAACATTTATTAGTCCAAGCCAAGTCGAAATGCATAGTAATAAAGAACATCCAGAATTCTCAGTTAAGATAGAACTTGTAACAGATTATAAGGATATATTGGAGAACATAATGGATAGAGTTTCGTGGAATAGCATAAGTGAGACGGATTTTAACGAAAAAGAAAAACAAGAGAAAAAGTCATGGAAACTAAAATCGAACAATCCAGCGGTTGCAAGAAAATCTACAGCTAAGTCAACTATATGTGAACGCAATCATCCGTACAAAGTAAAAGCCGTTGCTCGAAAATCTATAAATCCGCTACCAAAATATTCTACCGACACTGATTTTTTACCTAGTAATTGTACAAATGATAGTGATTCGGACAAAACTTCGACCAACCAATATTCGTTTTATGGAATACCATCAAAACCTGTTAACTTAGGACAATTAAGTACATACATGGTAGTTGGAGGTCTTAGTATGAGAGTAAATTGTACTACTCTTGCTCAGCTGATAAATATTAATGCGTGCATTAAGCTTAACGATATTAAGTATGACCCTAAATATGCTTCTTTATTTTCAAAAGCAAAACAGTGAAAGTTATCAATCAAATATCATTGCTTGCATCAACTATCAAAAATCATTTTTTCTAGACAATAACAGTACAGCACAAGAATCTCAAATAATTATTTGAGCTATAAATATTTAATTGAATAAATAGTTTTTTTTATTATGACAGTATTCGCATATTTTTCATAATATTTATGTGCATTTTCATTTATTTTAATTACATATTTTATTGTTTTATTAGTAACTTTAGTACATATCCAGAAAATATATTATTTAAAGTAAAAGTGCACACACACACACAGGTAAGCTTATTATTTTATTAATGATTTAAATTAACTATTATATTCCATTAAAAAAGATTATTATTTATTAATTAAATAAAATATTATTAGCTTTTCGTTCGCGACAAGATTAATATTTTATTATTAAACAGCAAATTTCTGATTATAATATGCAAATATCGTTAAACGACATTATTATAAACAAAATAGAAGTATCCACATATTGAATATAAATTTGTATCAAATAATCAGATAAACTTTTGCATTATAAATATTTTGATACAAAATTATAGACTTTCAGTAATATATGTAATTATATTTAGATCACAGCTATATGGTGACAATTAATATCTAACAAAGTAGCGAAGTACGAATTTATTATGTTTTGAAAAATTTTGTTATACGTAATTTATTATTCATTTTGTATAGAATAATAAGATTAATATTAATAATGATTATAATATAATAATGTAGTAGAGTAGTTATTGTAGTAGTAGTAGGTAGTACTAGTAGTAGTAGCAGTAATAATAATAATTTAATAAATTAATATTAATAATAACAATATCTCTCTCTCGTAAATGAGAAATGTTAGTATAATAATACTTGTTTAATGTAAATAGTTTTAATATATTCATTCTATAAAAACAAAAATGCTAGGTATAATAGTATTGTATCTACATTAATTAATGACGATTGTTTACTGCTACCCTTACAAAATTAATAGGAAAAAATTATTGACAAGTAATACATGAAAAATACTTAAAAGGAAATAAAAAATAACGTACTACAGTATAAAAAGATAAGACTGAGGGGTATCCTAAACATTAGATCCTGTGTAATTAATATTTATGTAAATATCATGTATCATAAATGTTAAATAAATATTTTTGATTTTTATAATTTAATAAATTTTCAATAAGAATAATATTTTCGTCACGATGCAAACACGTAGGATTAATTTTTTATTATAGTGCGTTGCATCTTGGAACTTACTTTATATAGTTCGTTTTATTTTAATATTGTTGCATAATTTAAAATAAAGCATAAATAACTATTGAAACACGCAACAACAACAAATAAAGAAAGATAGCATATATATCCTTTATTAATATTAGCATTTTTTACTAGAAACACATAAAAATATTCAACTTTTTTTACTTTCTTAAAAAGTATTTGAAAATATGTAATGCATACTAGTTATTCAGCTGATATTATGTCATAGACCATTTAAATGTCAATATAATTTTCATAAATAATTTTGTATTGTTTTCACTAAATACGACTTGTTTTACATTATAATATTTGACAATGGCAAGCAAAACACCCAGAAGGTACGTAAGTCCACGTAAATGCATGAGATGGTTGAGTTGGATCTAAATTCAAAGAATCTTCGCTTTCTTCACTTAAATCCTCGATACTAAATGTATCAGTAAGCTCTCGTTTATGTTTCAAAGATTCTTTTCCTTTTGATAATGAGAAAAGAGTAGTTTCATCATCGCTAAAAAACAAAAAATACATTAAATTTTTTTTTACTCTACAATAGTAGCAATTAATTTTATTTTAATTAAAATTCGTATTCCTTATTATAATTTATTACGATATATTATTATTTATAATTAGTTAATTTACCTTTCACTTCCACTATGCCAATATTCAACTAAAGGAAGATTTTCTTTATTTTTAGATGGTATAGGCAACCTTTCTATCGAAATTAATCCGCTACTATTATTACTACATACGTTTATTTTGGACGTTTCATGTTTTGGTAATTTCATATAGTCTGAATTAAGTTGTATTCGTTTTGCTTGTTCAATTCGTGCTTCTATAAAAAGAAATTAATATCATTACATGAAATCTTGAATTTAAAATTAATATTAATTATGAGCGAATAGTTAGATGAAACTAAACAAGATGCATTAAAAATTGATTTGTAAATATAAGTTTGAATTAATTAATGATAAATTGCGTACCAAGTTTTTTTTGCCATTGTTTTGTAGAATTTCTTTGAGATGTTTGCGTCAGATTACTATTACAACTACTATCGCTTCCCTACAAAGATACACCCAACTGTGCATTAATTAAATATATCTGTAAACTGATATTAATTTTAACAAATAATTTTTTTTCGAATAACATATATTTAGATTAAAATTGTACGCTTACCAAAAATAGTTTTTCATCTTCATTGTGAGTAATTATCTTAGGGTCGCTATCAATTCCACTATCCTCCATGACAAGATAATATATTTTGCTTTTAACTCATCTCTGCAATACGTAAAATATAATATTTTATATTTTTCTGTTTTTTAAATAGCTACAATTTGTGTGTATCCATTAACATAATTTTTAATTGTTTAACACAACAGACATTTTAATTTGAAACACTTAAACAAAGATGCATGAATAAACAAGTAAATAATACATTTATTATTATTATGATACGTACATGAATATATCATATAATTATAATATTTATTATACACTATGACAATTCATTCATTCACATTCCACACAAGAATCTAGTTACAACTTGTTGAAATGCTTATATTATCTTGGGATAGTCCAGTATTGATTTTCTTTCAACCAATAACCAAAAATACAGATATAAATTTTATCATCTTTATTTTTTAAAAACATTTTGTATAAATTCCATAAGTATATTAGATATACGAATATATCTTAATATACGCATAATACAGTTAATTTTATGCAATGAAATTAAAATTAGTAACCCGATCTAGCCGATTTTATTTATGTCCTTTATTAAGCACACTTTTATGAAATTTTATTTGGAATATATATAAATATAAATTTGTTTGTTAATTTTAATAATTGTTTATGTCAAACTCATGTATATCTTGTTTAGAAAAAACTTTGGAAATTCCATTAAAAGTGGCAAGAAATAAATGGCAGTAGTAACCATAATAATGCCAATGTATCCTTGGCAACCATGAATAAAATTTGTTTCCATGCATGAACAACAAAATGTGCACAGTTGAGAGAAAGCCTAATAAAATATTTAAGTTTCTATCGTCAAAATACTTGGATTTAATAACAATGTAACGTATATAGTGAATATAATTAATTATTATTATATTATTTAATATATTTCTTTATATTAATATTACAAAATAATACTTCATTCTTAAATTTTATCTAGATAAGGATAAAATTTGTCATAACTTTATTTAATAACATATAACACATAACATAATGGCTTCTACGTTACCCAAAAGACAAGCCTCTAAAGTCTCAGAAATAATGAAAGATGTATGTTACTATAAACTCCGATAAAGTATTTTTTTTATATATAAATTAACAATTAATAATTAATAATATTCACAAACATTTTAGTATGTGAGTTTGAAGAGTCGTATGTCAGGTATGAGCTTAGCTGGTGGAGATACGGATTGGATACGAGGGAAAGTTGCTCTTAAACCGGATGATCAATTACAATTAACGGAGACAGTACATAGAATTCGTCTATATTATTAAGTACTATCTAGAAAGTGCAAATATTTTATACTAATGTTAATTTCAGGAACTTCAGGAAGAAATTGCTCGAGTACTTACAGTACAAAACACACGTATTCCTGACTCACTAGTTGAATGGTCTTGGAAATTAAGAGAATATATTAGACTACCTGATCCTCCTAATGTAGTAACTCTCATGAGTGTACCTGGTACTATACTACGTAAAGACTCGGAGGAAGCTAAGGTGCAAATAGCTGGTGGTATTGTTGGTAAGCCATTACATAATAATTTGTATAAATATAAAAAATGATTATTGGATATATTATTAAAAATACGCATTTATTTTATATTATATTTTTTTATAGCAGAAAATCATGATGAGGGGTTGACCTTTGATACCAGGCAGGATGATAATATACTGGATAAATATGCGGATGAAGGTGTGTTTCAAAATAATTCATCATAAATTTGAAAGTAAATGTTTTGTTTTTTATATTAAGCATCTTTCAACTATTCAATAATATTTTAAATAAAACAATTATAATACATTTTAGAATACGAAGGAGAATATGAATATGAAGCAGAAGTAGATGAAAATGAGTACCAAAGAGAGAAACATAAAAAAATACCTAATCAATTCAATTTTTGCGAGAGAGCAGCATTAACGTATGAAAATCCTATGAGAGTAAGTTTATTAAAGATAGCAATATTTTATAGGCAGGTAAGCTATTCATTTCTTTTATAGGATATGAGTACACAAACTTTACCACCACCCACAGCATTGTTTAATACGCACGTCTTCCAATGGACTATTTTTGACGAATATCAGGTGCATAAATAATAATTATGAGGATTCTCAAAATATTCTCGGGCAATATTTATAATTAAATATTTAATTATACACACACACAGGAAGATTACATGCAACAACAACGTGAAAGAGAAAGAGAAAGAAGATTGCCAGTTACACAGGTACGAAGAGAGGATATGAAAAAAAAAGAACAAATGGAAAACATTGAAATGTATGATAGAATGCTTAAAGCAGCTAAAACGTTAGAAAGAATGGTGAATCAAAATATATTTGATGAAATTGCGCAGGGTAAGTCTAGTTGTATAATTTTAAATTTACTAAATTTAATGTTCTATTCACTGATAATGTTTGTAGACTATAGGTATTGGGATGATCCAAGCGATGAATTTAAAGATGGTGAAGGGTCTTTATTACCATTATGGAAATTTCATTATGAACCAACAAAAAAACATGATATCACAGATGTATGCTTTAACGAAAGATATTATGATCTATTTGCAGTATCATATGGAGCATGTTAGTAATTAATGTATAATAATATTTTATATATTTGTAATAATATTATAAATTTTTACTGTATTACAGTGACATTTAATAGTCCTATAAAGGACGGCTCAGTATGTTTATTTAGTTTGAAAAATCCATCGTACCCAGAATGGATTTGTCCAACAGAATCTCCAGTAATGTGTTTAGATTTTAGCATTCAACATCCTCATTTATTAGTCATTGGTAAATTTTATGAAGTATATCAATATTTTGTAAAATATAAATACATGATTTAATTTATTATATATTAATCTTTTTAATAAAGGTATGAAAGATGGTTCAGTAGCTGTATATAATATTATGTTACCACCAACAGGCCCACAATATAAAAGTAATGATGTTACACAAAAACATGGAGGCATCGTATGGGAGGTATTTTGCACAAATTTATAAAAATATTAATTATATTCATTGATTATATAATATCTATTAAAGGTTCGTTGGGCACCTGATACACAAGAAGGAAATTTAGCATTTTATAGTGTTAGTATCGATAGTAAAATAAATTTTTGGGTTCTTAATCAAAAGGAACTTGGATTAACAACAATTATGACATTGTTTCTTGACCAACCACCAATACCAGGTCCTGATGGTACAATGATAACACTCAAAGGTATATTATATTGATATGAAATTTTATTATAATTAGATGTTTTATCTAAAAATATTTATTAATCATTAACTATTACTTGTAGGGTGTGGAACCTGTTTGGCTTTTTATCCATCTGATGAGCATATATTCTTAGTTGGAACCGAGGAGGGTACTATGTATAAATGTAATACAGCATACAGCAGCATTTATATGCAAATATATAACGAAGCACATAATATGCCAGTGTATCGTATAGTCTTCAATAAATATAATTCGAAAATATTTGCAAGTTGTTCGGGAGATTGGAGAATTAAAATATGGGAAGATGAAAGACCGTAAGTTTTAAATATAAAATAAACAAAATTGTGTGAATACACACAAATTTATAAATATTTAATTACACAGAGATCCACTTTTTATGTTTGATCTCGGGGTTCCAATTGGAGATGTCCAATGGGCACCTTACAGTTCAACTGTCTTGGCTTGTGTATCGAATGACGGAAAAGTTACTGTTTTTGATTTGAACGTGAACAAATACAGACCAATTTGTAGCCAAGCGATTGTTAGTAAAAGAAAATACAAATTAACAAGGCTTGCTTTTAATAATAAGCTACCTTTCATCATAGTTGGCGATGACAAGTAATTAATATTTAAAAATACAAGAACGTGTGAACTTATTGCATATTTGGGAAAGACTTTAATGACATTTTTTTATTAATAGGGGCACCATAAGTGCATTGAAACTATCACCAAATCTTAGAGTGAAAGTAAAACCAACGAAAAAACAAATCGATTTAACAAATACTGAGTTAGAATGTATGAAATTAGAAAAATTATTAAGTTTTATACGAGAACCACCTACATTAACGCCACCAAAAGATGTTAAATTAGAATGAGGATATTAGTATTTGCAATATTTGTTGAAGTTTGAAAAAATATATACAGTACCATATTTACAGGAGAAGTTTGTTATTTGCAATATATATTTGTAAGTAATAGTCAAAGGTATCGTAAAAACATATTATTGCGTTAATTATTAAATGTTATAACTTTATTTCATTTTTTTGTTGAAAGCTATCCACAGAAAAACAAAGAATATTATAAATCCTTTAAAAAATATTAAGGAAAACAAGCACAAGTAATAAATAAATAATTATAAATACATAAAATAATATTTTTTATAATATATCATTGACAAAATGTATAAGGATATTTAAAAGTATAAGTATTTAAAAATGTATAAGTATTTAAAAAAAGACTGATTTCAAATGTCGATGGGATTATTAGACTGTGGATATCTTTTAAATGCAGATATAAATATTTGGCACCAAATGTATGTACTTTTTTATTATCTTAACTTCTAAGCAGAAATAATGCAATGTTAATAGCTATTGCTCATTTTCAATTCACACATGCCGACTTACAATATAACTACTTATTGATTATTACTTGAACATTATATGAAATCATAAATCAAAGTTCTTATCGATTAAAAATGTGTCACCTAAATATTTTGTACTTATTGTTAATGATTATATTTTCAATAATACAAAAATTAAATACAAAGCGTGCAAATAATAGTCTAATTAGTTATCTAATATCAATTCCCTGTTATAATAAATGGAAATATTATAACTTTTATAACAGATTTTGTAAAATGGTGTAAGTTGTTACTTTTTATTTAGTACGAATTATTCTAGAAAAAAAATAACACCGATAGCATTTAATGGAATGCGAATAACAATAATAAAAATAATGAAATTTAATTAAAAATGATCTTATTTGGAAGCTTTGGATTTTCTACGACTCCTTTAAAATATTTAAGCTCTAAAAAATCTCTAATATTATTTGGGCATGGAACTTGTCTACCCGCAAATTCAATGCTTGACATCGGATGAAGAAATTGTTCAGGAAAATCTTCATTTTTCATAAACGATGCGTCTTTAACCATAGATCCATTTTTAGTATAGAATGGAAGTAAGTTAACGTGTAAATTATTAATTTTGGAATATTTTACTTTAAAAAATTCTCCCTCTGTAGCTTTTTCCCAAACAAAACCGTGATTATCTACAACAGGTTTAACTTTAGCTTTAACTAACCATGGAGATCTTTCTAAATCAAATCTATTTATTCCTATTTGTACTTCATGATCCCATGGTAGAATATCTCCATTTTTCATTGCACCTAACAATGATGTTCCTTCTAACCAGAAACGAATACCGACTTCATCTAACTGATCAAAAACGTGATGAGCAACTTTCCTCAATCCAGCAAGACAACAAGGAGGTGTATGTCGATTCTGATAAATATATGATGGTATACCATTTATCACTGATCCAAAACATCTTGAAGTTTCTTTCGAGCATCCGTACCATTCAATTAAATTTGAAGCCCTTATTACTTTTTTCATTCCTAACTGTTTAAACATTAATTGTTCACGACTTTGATGTAATTGTTCCAGCTTCCGTTGAGTTTGTTGATTTCTATATAACAGCTTTCTTTCGTTAAACTGATGATCTTTTAGAATATGAATCTATCAATGTAAAAAACTATCAAATGTTACTCTTGTCATATTATTAATATAAACCAAATTCTAATATAAATACATATGATAAAATAAAAGCAAATTAAATTTATAATGTATAAACAATAAATTAACACTTACCACTTTAAATAATAAAATTATTCACGTGAAAATCTAAAACTTTGATGATATAAACACACACGTAAAAACAAATCAAACATTAAGAAAATATCACAAACGATTTATTACTCTTATTAGAGTAGATAAAAAATGTAAATAATAAAAAATAGATGTCAATGGATAATTAAAACAAAAACCATAATCACGAACATACGCTTAAAATATAAACCTTATTTTACATCAAAGAAATTAATTTACCTTTGCACCAATAGCTGTAGTTTGTATGTACAATGCATCTGGAAAAGGCAATAGAAATGGATCGGAGAGTTTTCTTAACGTTTTGACTTCTAACATCGTTGCATGTTTTCCAACTACGAAATCACATTCCACATCAGAAGAATGGGTGAATTGTAAGCTCCATTCCTTAATCTTCAAGTTCACGGAAAGACAAGATAAAGTAACTTTACCTACAGGTACAGATACTATCCCATATTTTGACATTTGTCCAATGGTATTCTATACATGAAAAATATAAATAAAAAAGAAAATATATATTAATAATTAATATTTCATTTTTATATAGTCTTCTTTATATAATATAAAACGAATTAATTACCTGTAGAATTTGTTTGTTGGATATTCGACTAGCATCAGGTAAAAATAATACAAACTTAGTGCGTATGTAGAACATAGGATTTCTTTCCTCATAGGTTTTGTTGAAATCGGTATGCAAAGTGATGAGTTTAACATTCTGCAATGTTTCATTTTCAAAATGCAATTCCAAAGGTGGATACGGCAACTCATCGCATACAATTAAAATTGGTATGGTAGGGAAAGAATTCAATACAGACTCTACAGTGGACACCACGTCATTTTCAAAACTTTCAAATTGACGTATAATTATAGTTACAAGGCGAGATAAACGGCGATGCAATTTTTGTGGTGGATCATTAGTAGCAGCACCGGGTGTCAATAATCCCAACGTGTTTTGTGCTGCGAATAACCTCCATATTCTGTGCCAAATAATTACATTTCCCAATAACGCAAACACGAGTAATGTTCTTACGAAGCTAAGGCGCATTCTTATTGTACAAAATAATGTCACATTGTATATTGTATTTTAAACAGACACTCAAGTTTTCACATTATCAATATCTTTTGTAATCCCTTTAAAAAATTTCATTTCTTACTATATTTTTATACCTCCATTATTTAGGGTTACCTTAAAAGATCGTTGTTCTAAAACGTCACTTTTCAATAATGATCACCAACATATAAACTATAAAAATCCCTTTTTATTTGAAACTCAAAGTTTGATGTGAAAGTTATCCCTTTTTTATTAGGAAAACAGTTAAGTGGTCCAGTCCTTGAAACCATTGTTATGTTAATTACACTGTTATATTTAATTTGCAAAAAGTTAAATTAGGAGTGAAAAACTTATATATGGTTGCTTGTTTTATCTGTGCAAACTTAATTTCTACAGTAAACAAGGAATTACCTAACTAACTTCACACTTTACAACGAGTAAATTATAATATTTAGATGTTGGTAACATTGATCGTATTAATATAGTGTTGTTTTTACGTGAAACGTCAAATTGGTGTGTTCTCGTTGGAATAATTATAAAAAAAACTGTAATCAGCGGTGTGATCAAATAATTGAGGAATCACTTAGACAAATTGTTTAGACATAATAGAAAACTAAAGTTTGCTATAATCATGCCATTACATAGATATACTCATGCCATTTTATGTAGAATCCCTCTTTCATTGCGAACTAGAGGGGAGGTCACGCTTGACGAGGCTAGAAAGCAACATTTAGCATTAGCACAATTATTACGTGAACTTGATATTGACGTCGTTGAAATGCCACCTGACGAAAATGCACCTCTTTGCGTTTTCGTCGAGGATATTGCCGTTATTTGTAATGGTATTGCTCTAATCGCTCGGCCAACCGAATCATCTCGTCTAAAAGAGGTATCGACCTTGTTATCGAATTAACTTCTCATTTGATGAATACATTTTTAAAACCACTTAACTCGCGCCTTGCTCTCAATTCCCATCTGACTTAATTTAAAGTCATTTTATTTATGCATATATATACATGTATTCTAGGAAGCAATGTTTCAATAATTTAAATTAGAAATTTGATTTATATTCACACACCTAAATGAAAATATATAATATATATATAACTTATAGATAAATAGAGATTTTTAATTTATAGATAAATAGATTTATATATATAATATATATCTATTTTATTAATATTACAATTTTATAATAAATTAATGTTTTTATTTCAGATCGATACTATTAGGGCCGTTTTAAAAAAAGAATTAGAAATACCTTTAATAGAAATAGCAGATAAGAATGCTCGTTTAGACGGAGGAGATGTTTTGTTTACAGGTAATAGTTAATAAGAGCTTATGCATGATACTATTTTGCTAATATATATACATATATAAAATATGATTTATATATTCAAGAAATTATACTTATAATATATATAAATTGTTTTCTTTTAGGCCGTGAATTTTTTGTCGGCTTGTCACATTTTACAAATGAAGCGGGTGCTCGCGCAGTTGCTGCAGCATTTCCTGAATATCCTTGTGTACCCATAAAGGTTTGTTAATTGAATCATTTTTTTCTATAAGAACATTTGTATATTTGAGAATGTTTGTTATTAATAATCTTTTAAGAATAAAAAAAATGAATAATTGTTCCAGAAAACTGATAATAATCTATGTATATTACTAATGCTCGACAATGTACACGTTCATTTAAATTATTATACATTCGTGATATAATTTAGAATTAATTTACAGCACATTATTTTATTATGAAATATGCAGTTACATATCATGGAATCAGAATGTGTCAATATTTGTAGACAAAAATCATACTCATACAACATATTTTTCATTATTCATTTAAGGTGGGTGATGGTGGCGAAGAGGTGATAGTGGAGAGTCTTACCTCAGCCCCTCTTCAGGTTTGGGTGCACTAGTTTGACTCTCTTATATGCATATTACATTGAAAAAAATGTATTTCACAAATTAGAGAAATGATCGCACGTTTTATAAACAAAAAAAAAAGCAACAGACTTTTTTATTTATTAAATATTCTGCATAAAAATGCAATGCAGAATATTTAAGCGATGCTTTAAAATCAAAACTGATAATGCAAGTTATCTAGCTTAGCATATTCGTGCACATGGAGTTCATAGCAAAGTTACTCACTCACCTTAGCACGCATTCCATTTGTTATCGACCTCAGTACTTTATTTTTTTTTTTGCAGAAAATAATATTA